TATAATTTATACTTACTATAGATTCTTAGTTATTATATATTTAATACTAATAGTATTAACTTTATTAATAGTATATAGTTTCTTAATTACTAGGGTTTTTTTTAATTATAGGTATTAAATTAGGTTTAATTTAAATTATATATATTAAAGTATTATAATTACCTTTCCTTTTAAAAGGTACTTTTCTAGGTATTATATTTTAGTCTTTATATTATTCTTTATTATTATAAATATAGATATATACTCTAAATAATAGGTTATTTTATAAATATAATATAGTTAATTTATATAAATAATATATTTATTAACTAATAACTACTAGCTAGTAAATAATTAGTAGAATAATATAAAAGTTCTTTAATTTACCTTTAAAATAAGTTTCTTTATATTATCTTTATATAACTTCCTATTTATACCTTTTTTATAATAGTTAGGTTAGATTAGGTAGAAAAGTAGGAAGGGAAAAAGGTAGGTTATATTACTTATTAAGACTAAAGCTTATCCCTTTTTTCCTTCTAGGAAATATCCCCCTTATTTTATAATAATTAAAAGGAAGATAACTTATTCTTTTAATTAGAGTTTAAATACTATTTAAATACTAATTAAAACTTATATAAAATAATCCTATTCCTATAGGTCTACTTAAGGTCTTAATTTAGGCTTAACTTATATATAGGTCTTACTAATCTTATAACTAATTCCTCCTTAGGCTAACTTTAGGTGCCCCTCTATCTTATAGCTAATTAGTTATCTTATAGGATTTATACTTACTATAGATCCTTAGCTACTATATGTTTAATACTAGTAGTACTAGCTTTACTAGTAGCGTATAGTCCCCTAATTACTAGGGTTCTTTATAATTATAAGTATTAAATTAGGTTTAATTTAAATTATATATATTAGAGTATTATATTTTCTTAGCTTTATATTTTTCAAATTATTATATTAACTTTTTATAGTAAGTAGACTTATAATAAAGTATTTCTAGATTAGGCTACTTTCTTAGTTATTATTATTAAATAGTAATAATACTTACCTATTCTTTCTAATCTCTTAATAAGCCTTTATTAAACCTTATAAAGCCTTTATACTAGACTTATAACTAAACTAACTACTTTATCTACCTAAATAGTATATTAACCTATATTCCTTTTACTTTTAGGTTATATTAATACTATAGTTACTTCTTTAGTATAGGTATTTCTTTTACTACTTAGTCTTATACTACTTTAATTTAAGAATCTTATAAACTACCTTACCTAGTTAGATACTAATTAATAGAGCTTATAACCCTAGTTTTATACCTATATTATAGTTTAGTCCCTATTTAGCTTTACTTAGTAAATCTTACTAATCTATTATTCTTTTAGCCTAATAATTCTACTAATATATTATAAGTATATTTTATATAAGAATTCCTAAGCTCCTAGTTTATACTACTAACTTTATAGTTCTTTAATAGTAATATACTTTAAAATACTTTTTTAAGTTATTAGAATGCCTTTTAGTTAGCTTTACCTATATCTACTCTTCTAGGTTTTTTCTTATTTATTATACCTTTTAAGTAACTTATAAGTAAGAGAACTATAGCTAAGTATTAATTAATAAACTATTAATAGAAATTATAAAATCCTAGAAATACTTATATTTCTTAAAATATCTTTATTTTAAGCTACTTTTATATTATCTTTACTTTTATAAAATCTATTTAAATTCCTTATTTTAAGAGTAAGAATCTTAAAAACTTAACTTCTAATTAGTAGAATTTATATTTTAAGAGCTTAATATATAGTTTTATAGTATATAGTTTTCTTAGAATTAATTTTAAATATTTAATATATTTTTTTTTAATTTTTAAGAAAATTAAGATATTATTAAGATAAATAATATAAATATAGTCTAATAGTTTACTTATTATTTAATAAATATAACTTTAAAATATTATTAATATATTAATTAACCTAAATAGTATTATTAAGAACTTATAGTATTTATAATAACTATTAAATATAGTTTTTTATTTATTATCTTTTTTAATATAAATTTAATAGTATATATTTTTAATATTAATTTTTAAAAAGTACTTAGTTTTAGAAATTTAGTCTAAAATCTTAGTAATTAAAGGTAATAGGTATTAATTCTTTTAAATAACCTTATTTAAACCTTAATAATTAATATAAAGTTAAAGGCTTTTATCTTTTTTAAAAATAAATAGTATAAAAGATTTAATAAGGCTTATTAAAAGGTAAATCTACCTTTTCTTTAAAGCTTTATTAATAAACTTCTATAAAGTCTTAAGTTCTTTTAAAAAGAAAAAATAAATAGAATTATAAGGTAATATCTACCTTTTTATTATATTAATAATATAGTTAGAATCTTTAAACTTAAAAATAATTCTAATTTTAAAGTTATTAAATATATTAAAATAATTCTATAATTCTAAAAGAATTATATAAAGTATTAGTTTTAATTTCTTTTTATTTTTTAAAAGTAATAATAGTTTTAATAAGTTAATTATTATAAAAACTACTATTATAATTTATAGTTATTTCTTAAACTATTAAGACTTATTTAATATAATTTATATACTTTAGGTTTTAAAGAACTATAGCTATTAAACTAAATTAATAAAGATATTATAGTTTTTTAAACCTAGTATTTTAATTAAAAGCTAGTAATCTTTTTAATCTAAATCTTAAAATAAAAAATACTAAACTATAATAGTTTTTATACTATTTCTAGAATCTATTAAAGTAATTAGTACTTTATAAAGCTTACCTATTTAAAGTTAAGCCTTTTTTATTATCTTAATTTTTAATAGTTTTATTTTTAATTTTTAAATATTAAGTTATAAAGCTAACTTAATATTAATTAAACTTATAACTACTTTTATATTTAAAATAACCTAGGTAGTATTTATCTAATTAGCTAAAGTATTTATTATATAGAAAGGTTTAATTATTATTTCCTTTTATATAGGTTTTCTTTATATTAAGTCTATTTTAGGCTTTAATTATAGCTTTTTTTCTAAACTTTATATTTTTAGTTTTAAAAGGTTAGTATAGATTAGAGTAGTAAAAGAATTAATTATACTATCTAGTTTCCTTTTCCTAAGTCTAGCTTATTAGTATTTTTATTCTTAGGGTATTTAGATACTATATATTTAGGTTTATTATACTTATAGTAAATAATTTCTTTCTTTTTTTAAAATAAAAGAAACTTTCTTTTTTAATATAATATAAATAGTCTTTCTTAGTAATTTAGCTTTAATTTATCTTAATCTTATTAGTTATTCTTATAATTTACCTTTTAATTCTTAATTTAAAAGTCTTTATTTTATTATATTACTTTCTTAATATTAGGTTATAACTAATATTACCTTTTTTTTTATTTTTAGGTTTTTACTTATATAGTTAATAATTTTTCTTTATAACTATTCTTATAGTTTTATAAAATACTATTAAACTCTTTTAGCTTTTAAAAGTATTAATACCTTTTTTTTTAATAAATCTAAGTATAAATAAAAATCTATAAGGTATTAGCTTAGCCTTTATTTAATAGACTTAAAAGTAATAATTATATTTATTTCTAGGTTAGTAAAGTCTTTTAATAAGATTTTATTTTATTTTATAAAGTAATCTTAATTATTATTATATTCTTTTTATTTATTTAATAATAGCTTATTTAAGTATTAATACTATTTAGCTTAATAGGCTAAGTCTATATATTTTTAAGTATAGATAATTTTTAAAGATTTCTTATAAAACTTTTTTAAATTAGCTATAAAGGCTTTTTATAAATCCTTTTTTTATTAATTATAAATTTAAAAGTTATATTAATTTAATAGTTTAATAATATTTTAAATCTAAATATCTTAAAAAAGGTAATTATCTTTATTATTTTTATTTTATAATAAATAACTTTCTTTACTTAGTTTAATCTTAAAAAGTTAAAGTTCCTTTTTTAAGGTATTTTTCTATTTAGTTTTATAAATCTATTACTAAATCTCTTTTTTTTCTTTATTTAATAAAAAGAATATATTATTTTTAGCTTTCTTAAAGAAATTATTAATTTCCTAAATTATATTATCCTTTATTAGTATAATAAAAGGATATTTTAAAAAAAAATTAAAAAGATAAAAAAGTTAAGATATCTTTTTCTTTTTATAATTTAACCTTATTTTTAATAATAGCTTTTATTTTCTTTTTAAATAATTCTTTAGTAAAAGCTTTAGAATTATAATAATTAGATTAGATTAAATAGAAAAGTAGGAAAGGAAAAAGGTAAGTTATATTATTTATTAAGATTAAAGTTTATTCTTTTTTTCTTTTTAAGAAATATCTTTTTTATTTTATAATAATTAAAAAAAAGATAATCTATTCTTTTAATTAGAATTTAAATATTATTTAAATATTAATTAAAACTTATATAAAATAATCTTATTTTTATAGGTTTACTTAAAGTTTTAATTTAGGCTTAACTTATATATAAGTCTTACCTACCTTATAATTAATTCTTTTTTAAGTTAACTTTAAATACCTTTTTATTTTATAGTTAATTAGTTATTTTATATAATTTATATTTATTATAGATTCTTAACTACTATATATCTAATACTAATAGTATTAACTTTACTAATAGTATATAATTCCCTAATTACTAAGGTTCTTCCTAATTATAGATATTAAATTAGGTTTAATTTAAATTATATATATTAGAGTATTATACTAAGATAAGAAAAATATATAAAATAATAAAGATATATAAGATAATATATTTTTAGTATATATTTTATTTATCTAATTCTATTAGTAATAAAGTTTAATTTCTTTAGAAGTTAACTATTTATTTATATACTATTATACTTTTCTAGCTTTTTACTAACTTATAGGTTACTAGCTAATTATGCGTACCGACCCTTGACAGTCTTCCCCCCGCGTTATACAGGCGACTTCGAATGAGAACGAGTTCTTCGCCTCCAATACATTTGCAATTCCAATATGCCCAACCGATTGAAAGCAGCTGCTCTCGAGAAGCCGAGGTTGAAAATGCTCTCGGTACCTTTCCTTGATGAGACATTGATGGCCGGCCCTCCCAGCTGCAAACTGGCGGATTTCGCAACCCCACGACTCCGACGTTGCACCTTTGATCAAGAAGACGTGCAATTCGAAAATAGACTGGACGGTGGGCTTGATGGGTACGTCTGGAAAGTCACTCTTGGAAATGAAAGGAGAGGGCCATTCGCTCTAAAAATGGTAAGTTGCTCAGCTAAAGCGGCCTGCAATCGCACTCGGGCTGAGTCTGCTTTACAGTTCTGGGACAATGAGCCTCCCAAATTTGAAAGGTATTATGCGGCACAGCGGGAATGCCAAAATGCCGCCATTTTTCAAATGATGGAAGCAGCCGTATCCACCTCGAACGTTCGAGTACTCGACATGCCCCGGGATCGGTGCGAAGCTGAGCAGAACTATTACGCCTTTAGCGACGAGTTGCGTGACGAGAACCCTGACGCAGATACTGAAGACACGAGATTAATATCATCGATCCCGCGTATGGTGCGCTGTTATGGGTGGATGAAGATCAGCGGGAGCACCGTCCCTGAGGAGCTACGGGCGCCGCCGTTAACAGTCGGCAAGATCCAAAGGCTCATGCCATCCGATGAGAATTATATTGCGGTCATCTACGAATTTGTTGAGGATGGCGACAATGAACCTTGTGCTGTAGATGAAGTGTTAGACTTCCTATGGCATGGAGGATTTTGCTCCGCACTCTCTCCACTGGGGAAGAACTGGAAGAGTGGTGTCTTGATTGATCTGTCGGACATTATCCATGTTTTTGGCTTTGCATGGAATAAAGCACTCTATGGGTGTAGATCTGCGGCTCAAATTCTGGTCAGCTAAGCGTCATGGATAATCAGTAAGTCTCCGATCAATATTTCTCTCATGGACCTGGCCGAGGCAAATAGCCTGATGATGGTCGGACTTGCACCAAAAGGCCTGCCGGGCTTGTGGCGGAGGGCGCGCCAGAACATAACAAAAATGATGAGCCTTCCTCTTCACAACGCTTCGAACTATTAACGATCTTAATCCCTGTGACCTGAAGAAACACAGTCGCGCCATTCTCTGCTAGGGCGATTCAGGGTAGTCCTGTTTTTATTAAATTGAGGCTTTAAAGTCGCAAGGTTATATCTAGTCGTATTAGAAAATTTAATCTTATCCCTAATTATTTTTATATACCTGTTAACTACCTCCGAATAATGAATAGCCCAAAAGCTATACGAGTAATTCCTTGAAACCTTTTTATGCTGAGCTGGTTCCTGGACCAGGGTGGTGGTTCCTGGGGGGGGTTATAGCTGCAACTCCCACGTCTCTTCCTGCGAATCCACGGCCTCGAAATGCTCCGACTTGGCCCGCCTCACACACTTGAACCCCATTGCTGTATAAATGCCCCGTGCTGCGCTCAAGTTGCTCTGCGTCACCAGCGTCACCTTTCCAAACCCCCTTTCCCTCGCAAAGTCTATGCACATCTGCGACAGCCGCTTGCCCAGTCCCAGCCCTCGTGCCTCTGGCTCGACCAAGAGGACGCGAATCTTGGCCGTGTTGGGCGCGTCGGCTTTGCACAGCACGACGCTACCCTGGAACCGACCGTCCCGCTCGGCGATCCAGCAGCGTTCGAGCGCGGCGTCGTAGTTGGCGATGAAGGACGCCATGATTTGGGCGACCCAGCCTTCAAACTCGGTGCCCCAGCCGCAGAGCTCGGAATATAGCACGCCGTGTCGGTGGATGATGTAGCCAATGTCGCCTGGACGGTGCGTTCGTATTTGGACGTCGGCCATGGTGGATAGTGAGCCAAGGTGTGTAACAGAAAATAGTGTGGAATGGTCTCTTATAGCCGGTTGGGTAAATGCCCTTTAAATATGCGGATTTCTTCAGGGGCTCTTATCAACTCGGTTCCCAAGTTTCATTCAGGCGCGCCCTTTGCCCTCTAACGAACATGTCAAAGTGGAGATAACGGCCGCGTAGCGTCTCAACTCTCCAAGGTGAAGAAAAGCTGGCAAAGCCCAGTAGAGAATAGAAAAGGTGTATATTTGATACATGCTGGTGGCATATTCGCTCATGATGCGTAACTTGTTCATATCTTCGTGTCATGAAAGGAGCTTGCCCCCAACCTCATGAATAGCCTACCCCTAGTCGCCGTCCTCCTCCTCGAGCTCCTGCTCCTCCCCCGGCTCCGGCTTCTGCGCATACCAGTAATAATAATTAAAATACCTATGCACGCGCGGGTCGTTGAGCGCCTGCCTCGCCAGCGCCAGGCGCACCTGGGCCTCCTCCTCGGAGAGCCCGAGGGCCCTGAACGGGCGGCCGGCGAGCGTCGAGATGAAGTCGGTGACGGCCGTCTTCTGGTAGAGGCCGACGAGGCGCATCGTCTTGTCCTTGGCCCAGGTGCCGATGGGCACCTTGATGACCTTGCAGTGCACGTTGTCGAAGCCGGCCGCCAGCAGCATCGGCTCCAGCTCGGCCGGCAGCGCCGTGCTGAGCCCCAGCCGCGCGTACGCGTCGCCCGCAATCTCGTACAGCACCTTGAACGGGTCGTCGGGCCGCATCGTGCCGTCGTCGCAGAGCGGACGCCCGAGCAGCTCTTGGAACTCGATCCAGCCCCCGGGGCGAAGACTCCTGCCGTCGAGTGTAAGCAAAGTTGTGGACTTTGAGGCGTGTGCTGGTAAAACGCTGTTCAAGCAAGCTGCCGTCACTCACTCGTACGCGTGCTGCATCACAAGAGGCACGTCCTTGAGAATCATGGCCATGAAGCGGAAATGCGCCAGGTCGACATTGTCCAGCAACCAGTCCCTTTCGCAGTCGTCGACGATGAATTCCACATTCGGAGGGACCCAAAGCGGCTGTATCGGCGTCAAGTCAATACCGATAACAGACGCACTCGGATACGCATCACCAGCTGTCACGTCATCGTCAGCCACAGATCCAACGAGGGGTTGAAACTGTACGCACTTTCAATAGCCCATATTCCTAGTTTCTCGTCAGCCTTGGGGCTCTTCCCCCCGGGGAGGTTCAAACTCGGGCCAAAACAAAGCAACGCGCATACCTGTACCCGTCCCAATATCGACAATCTTTTGCGGATTCTTCCCCGTCGGGGCAAAGAACAGCTTGCCGTCCGTCAGCTCCATGAGCATGACATGCTTCATGTCCTCGCGCGACTGCTCCATGTCGTCGTTGGGGATCGGGTAGCGGCTGTTCTTGAAGGACTGGTAGCGCCGCCCGCGCTCGTACGTGTGCGCGTACACGCTCGAGCTCACGCTCACCAGGTCCGAGTCGACGCTGTTGGCCACAAACTCGTCGTCGCTCACGTCGCCGCTCGCCGCCGCCTCAATGGGTGGCTCCTCCTCGGCCAGCCACGGCGGCTCCGGCGCCGGCGCGTGGTCCGCCTCCGTTGTCGCTCGTTGTTGGGGGCTGCTTGCCGTCGATGGCGTCCGCTCCTTTGGTGACGCGCGGTTGGGAGAGCCCATGTTGGGGGAAAACCAGAGCGTTTTGCCAAACGACGAAAAAAAAACAAAGAAACAAAACCAACCGTTATTTCGAACCCAGTCCACAAACGCTACGCCCGCAATGGACAAGACGAGGGCAGCGCGCCCCCCCCCGGAAGAACGCGATGATCCGCTAGCCGATCCAGGCAGAATGGGGAAGCGCAAACACTGGAGGTAAGCGTAGAGAGGCGTATGTAGCGATGAGAATGAGACTCCGGAGGGCAACTGACCATCTCTCCTTCAGTCTACGAGCATCCGGCTAGGGCACAGCCGAGACTAATAAATGTACTGCGCAGTCATGCCGCCTTGCGCCCGGGGCTTGTCTAGCTGAGAAAAAACGACCAGTCTCTTTTCAACGGTCGGCGGGGTTTTGTCCGGCTTGTGTCCCCCCTGGCGCCCACGTACGCCTGCATTCATTTGCCGGCTAATAAGTTGATGCAGATGACAGGATTACCGTTGTTGGATATTCTTATGTTGTCTTTCATTTAGTTATAGTCAGCTACTGTGCATTATCTGTAGTCCACTTATCAAACTGGCTGTCTATTAGTGTCTAGGGTATCGAGCCCTCAACCTCATTTCCCGTGTCCCCTTGTCGCCATCAGCATTTGCTTCACCGTACCAACATCGAGCGACTTTTCCGCCTCGCTCAGTGACTGTTCCACAGCGGCAGCGCCTCTCTTCACCACCTCGGCGTCATATGCACCCATAACGGCTCGCCGTGATGCGCTGTTCCCCGCAGCACCGTGCAGCTGCAGGAGTGCATGGACATAATTATCCACATCCGTAATCGAGTGTTGGAAGCCTTGTCCGCGATCTATTCCTGTCAGTCAAAGCTGGCCAAAAGCCAACACATCGATGCAACCTACAAATGAGCATCGGATGCGCCGCGTCTCCCGCGAGCGCGACACGGCCATCGTGGTTGTCCCAGGAAACGGGAACCCAATATTTCATTTCGTTGATGCTGACATACGCATCGTCCGCCGTCCAGTCAATCGCAAGTTGGAACTCGTCGCGCAACGGGGCCGTCTTCTTTTTGATGTAGTCGAGCGCTTCACGGCCCTGGAGATGGACAGCTTCGCCGCGCCATATTTTGACCCAAAACGTTGTCCACGTCGACTTGTCGGACGCGTCCTGAGCAGACAAAACTATGCGATAGCCGTGTTAGTTTGACCGTCCTGCAGTCCAGAGGAGCGATATTCACCAACCGCCAATGCCGCCGACGGAGCTGGCTCCCATCATGAGTGCTGCCACCGGATGCTTGTCAACAATAGCATTCGTGTGTTCCACTCGTCCATACCGATTAATACCGGTTGCGAATAGGAACCCGGAGCCTTGAGCCTGCGCTTTCTCGGCTCCGAGTACAATCTCCCTCACCTTCGACGAGGTGCCGTCCGTCCCGACAAGATAGTCGGCATCCATTGTCGTATTGTCCTCAAAGTCTGCCGTGATACCATTCTCCGTCCGAGAGATCTTGCGCAAAGACTTGTTCCATCGAATTTCAACATCTCGGGCAAGTAGGGCGCGCAGACGTCTACGGCTCACACGTCTGGCGCCAGGCGTCGGACTGCTGAAAAGGAGATCCCCCGTGACGCCGTTATAGCACGGGAGCGTCTCAACTTGGGCGGTGAATTCAAGATTCGGATTGCAAAGCGCATTGTCCAGGTCGTTTAAGATTTCCTCGGGAACAAGGCGCTCGAGGATGGGCATGGCCCAATGTACGAGCATGGTCCATTCGCGGGGCCGCGCATCGATGCCGTCTTCCCTCTCGACGACAATGGGACTGAAGCCATTCTGATTTTGTTCTTGGTAAGAAATGGTCAAAAGGAATACATCCTCTGCATAGTCTGTCTCACCTTTTTCAACCCCTGCGCAACAAGCAGCCCCGTCAGTCCCGCGCCAATGATTAAAACACTAGGTTTATCTGTACTCGACATGGCCACGACGTCAAAGCCTTGCCGTACAAATGCAGTACTGAAACAAGAGACACAGCGAGCAAGGTATCGCCAGATTTGAAGATTGAAATCAGTGTTGAAAGTTCGCATTGCGCTCGTTCCTGCCTGTTCCCACAAGGGGGAAGTGTACGGAGTAGTGGCGGCTATGGAGCAGCTTCGTGACAGCGCCATGCCAGTAGGCACTAAAATGCGTGGCAACGTGGCTAGACCGCTTCACTGGAGACTTTCTTTATTGGCTCTCTCTCCATCATCACGCCCCTGTCACCAAGTTGGCGGGACAAGTGACAGGAAGGCTGGCCAGTGACGTGCGAGACTGGCAGGAAGGTGGCGGCTCAAGCCAACGGCCTGTCAACTGGCCCTGCCCCGGACATGGGACTCGGTGGTAGGGGTGCTCAATTGGGATGATACAAGTCAATATCTCGGAGAGAAGGTGATTTCTTAGCGGGGACTATACAGTTCAAGGCGTGGGGTCTGGCTTGATCAACTGTGGACCAACTAGAACCATTGCCAACGCATCAATGGGATGGGCCTCGTACTGATAACTAGTCATTGTACTCTGTACTATTGATTGGGTTCTTAGCTAGCAAAATACGTACATACCACCTTGCTGATACAGTATACTGTGAGTCCGTGAGCCCATGAACTGCCGAGCTTGAAGTGCCGAACATGCATCACAGCCCCACCTCAGCTGGAGGCTGGTTTATGCAAAGCCTCGAGGAGAAGCATCAACGAGATTCTCCTTGCCATGAGATATGACGTACAGATATAACATGCTGATGGATTTTTCGAGTATTTATGAACAGCATTTTATGGTTCACAGGATGCCGCCCGGGTGCATGGACGCATAGTGTTAACCTGCCGACCCGACTGCTCAGACACTCGATAGTGCTTACTGACCTTGAAGAATTAGTGTGGCCTCATTTACGGGTCTATATGTAAGGGTGGCTAAAGCAGGGAAAAAGCAAATACACGAGTTGAGTAGTGACAAGCCACCATGGCAGGTATGACGGGGGACAGAAATGATCATCCGAGTCCGCAGTATGCACAAAAGACAGAAGCCCAAGTGCGACATCAATGGAGGATCAGTTCGAGCAACAAGTCTCCGCCAACGTGCATACACCAAGTACGTTGCAGATACCATTGCAAGTCTCTTTACATCTTGGATATTCGCTTCTTCGGCTCCCTCAAGTACGCATGCTCCCGATCCGCCACCAGCCCATCGACCAGCTTGGTATTCAGATACCGCGGACTGGCATCCGCCATCAAGTCGCTCATCCCGCAGAGCCTCATGGCCACCTCAATCTCCTCCCGCAGCACTATACCAAAAGATTAGCCCGTTTTGCCAGAATACGACGCACCATTCCATATACGTACCGTTGGCCGCATGCACAACACCCTCCTCCCCGTAATGGACGGCGTACATAAAGGACCGGCCCAGCCCCACGGCCGACGCCCCGAGACACACGGCCTTGACAACGTCAGAACCGCGTCGGAATCCCCCATCGACAAGTACGACGAGCTTGTCAAACACCTCGGGACAGTTCTTGTGCAGCTCGAGCAGCGTGATGATGGCCGGCTGCGCCGTGTCCGCCGCGCGGCCCCCGTGGTTGCTCACCACGATGCCGTCGCAGCCGTAGCGCATCGCCATCTGCGCATCCTCCCACCGCTGGATGCCCTTGACGAGCAGCGGCAGCGTCGTGCCCTTCCTAATCCACGGGATATCGCTCCACGTCAGACGGGGGTCGATAAACGAGGCCGTCTGCGCCGCCATGCCCGCGCTCTTGCCGTCCGCCGCAGGCCTGTCGGCGGCCTGCGCGCGCTCGTCCTCTTCCCGCTTGGAGATGACGGGCAGGTCGACGGTGACCATGACCGCCGCAACCTTGCCCGAGTCCTGCACGAGGCGCAGCAGCCGCTCCGTCGCGCGCCGGTCCTTGTTCACGTACAGCTGGAACCACGCCCGCGCCGGGGTGGCGTGCAGGATCTCGTCGAGCGGGTACGACGCGGCCGTGGAGATGCAGTGGACGATGCCGGCGGCAGCGGCGCCGCGCGCCAGCGCCAGTTCGCCGTCGGGTGCCGCGGCGCGCACGGTGCCCACGGCCGACACGTACACGGGGATGGCGAGGTCGCAGCCAAAGAGCGCGGTGCGGGTGCGCACGCGGCCGACGTCGCGCATCACCGCCGGCCGCAGCCAGATGCGGCGCAGCATCGCGGCGTTGGCGTCGCGCGTGATGCAGTCGTTGGCCGCGCTGTGGATGTACGCCCACGACGGCGTGCTGAGCGAGCGCCGCGCCGCGGCCTCGAAGTCGTGCAGGTTGATGATGCGCGCCAGGGGCGGCTTGCCGGCGGACGGCTCCGGAGTTGCTGCGCCGGCTGGGTTCCAGTCCGCGGGCGCAGACTGCGCGTCGAGCGTGCCGACTTGGTGCTTGGCGTCCAACGTCTTGGAGATGAGCGACGGGGCGTGGACGGCATTGTATTGGTCGGAAGCATCCTTCCCGCCATGGCGATAGATGACTGCAAGGTCAGCAGAGCGTCGTTGTGCGATTGAGCACGGTGCATACTTTGGGCGCCGCCGGGATGAGAGGGCGCAAAACTGGTCATGTCGTAGACCTGCCCATCGACGACGATCCAGCAGCTCTCTACGCTGCTATGCTTGCGGACCTCGGCTACTGAAATGTTCCTGGGCATTTTGTTTTCTTTTCTGCGCAAGAGGATGATGCAACAATGCAAACGAGCATGCGCCCTGCCGTGTATTTGTAAAAGCCATCATCGGACAGGTCACCAAGGCACCTAAGGGTAGGCACCTGTAGATGTAATCTGCACAGCTCCCCGCAGAGCGGGCAATTCTGGGGCATTCCCCCACAGCCCACTGTAAGCCCACTGTAAATCATCGCTAAATTATAAGTCGGCAGTCACTTCGGGTTCTGGAGCTACCATCAATACCATTAAAACCTTCATCATGCAATGGCAATTTGGTTGTACAAGTGGCTGACTATTTGTCATTCATCTTGCGTAGCGTCCACGTCCGATTCCGCTCTTATTTATTCAGTCTCTGCGCGCGCTCGCCGTCGTTCCAAAACGCACACTGCCGTTTCCTCAGCCCATCGCATTCCGCTCTGACCGCACCCGGACTAACGGAAAGCTGCCTCGGACAGGCGCCGCCGTCATACGCTGGCCATTCCGGCGCGCCCTGGCGTCGGAACCGGTTCGGATCGCCCGCCGCCACAAAGCTCGCCATGTAGGCGTGGTACGTCCGCGCCACGTCTGGAAACGGAACGGCGGCCTCGTTCCAAAAGTACGCCGCGTCGGACGCGTGCGGGATCCCGCGCCAGCCGTGGGCCTCGAGCGGGTGGCCCGGCGTGTTGAACCGCAGCCGCCACGTCGGCACCCCGCGGCCCGCCGTCGCAGACGCCGTCGCCCGGCTCGGGCACATGTACGCCATGTCCGACCACGCCCCGGACACGCGGTTGTACTGCGTGCTGTTGGGCGACTGCGCCCACACCGAGTCCGGGTGCGCCACCGGGTCCGGGTACAGCTCGTTCAGTATCGCGAGGTCCGTCACGTTGAGGTGCGGGCTCAGGTGCTGCCAAAACCGCACAAAATCATCATTCGTCTCCAGATGGCCGGGCGTGTAGTACTTGCCCTCGTCCGTCGTGTGTGTCGTGATGATGGGTACTTCGTAGAAGCTCCCCTCCTGGTAGCACTGCGAGCCGGGCTGCTCCAGGCGCGGCCCGCCGAGCACCGGCTGCCAGGGCCAGTTCAGCTTGCTCTCGGCCTCTGCGTAGATCCTAGAGCTGATTTCCTCCATCTTGTCAATCGGCGCCTGGCGCAGGCACCGTATCTGCTCCTCGTCCGCCTCGTCCACACGGCAGCCCACATGCTGCATCAACTCTTCAAAGTCGCTCTCATAGCGCGGGTAGCGCACGTCCGGAAACGCCCGCGCCGTCGCGGCCCCAGACTGGAGCAGCACGCGCGCAAACAGCGGCGCGTCCTGGTCCTCTCCGTAGTTATGGCAGTGGGCAAACGCCGCCGAGTGCGCGCCGGCCGACAGGCCCCCCAGGGTGACCTGCTCCGTGTCGCCGCCAAACGCGGGCAGGTGCGTCTGCAGAAACCGCAGAAAAAAGTGCTGGTCCCGGAGCCCGAGGTTCAGCAGGCCGAGGCGCTCAAAGAGCCGGCTCGGGAGAAACCCGAGGGAATTCAGACGGTAGTTGAAGGTGACGACCATGACGGGCTGCGCCGAGGACGCGACAAAGGAGCCGCCGTCCATGGTGCGCCCCGAGTAGAGCGAAAAGGCGCCGCCGTGGATCCAGACCAGCGTAGGCAGCTTCTGCGTCATCGGTATGCCAGCCGGCCGATACACGTTGAAGTTGAGACATGCCTCCGACTGGCCGGCTCCGCCATGGCCGTCAGCTTTGTCCTGCGTGCAGACGGGCCCGAAGCGAGTCGCGTCTCTGATGCCGTCGAACCGCGCAGGCGGGCTGTCCAAGGGCGTGAAGCGTCTCTCGCCGACTGGCTGGAGGGCATAGTCGATGCCGAGCCAGGCGTCGACGGGATGCGGTAAATCCAGGCCGCTGATGCTTTCCGACAGGCGGAAGCTTTGATAGTGCCCGATATTCGTCAGATGGGCCACGGGCGCTTCGACTGCGCTCCTGTTCGCGGAGCCGGAATCGAAGCCGCCTATGGACCCGAGCAGAGCGGAGCTGACAATTGCCGCAAGTGACGTTTGGACCATGTTGAGTTTGGGGGGGGAAGTGGCAGAGCAAAGTTCAATTAGAGGTGCATATTTTGTGATGGTGCTATCAGGGCACACAGTGCTAAAGAGGAGTTACATATAAGACAAGCAGGTTAAAAAACGGCAGGGCAATAGAGAGAGACCTACTAGCCGGACCGACTCTTTTTACTAGCCGGACTGTCGATATAACTATACAATAAATAAGGTATAATACTTTAGGTAATTAATATTTGTAGAAAATCAGAAGTACCCTTGAAATAACATGTTTTTTTTTAATTAATAAAACTGCAGTCATTATTTCGCTAGCGCCATAGAATATAAACAAGTTCATCATACGTCTGCTCATCATTGGCAATGCAAGCCCCCTCCTGTACCCCGAGGCGCACTCGTGCGATTGCCTCGGCCTCTTCTCTCCAGGCCTCAGCCTCCGCTTCGTGCCCGGGCTGGCGGCGCAAGACGACCGAGAGTTTGCGTAGCACGCGCGCGTAGTCGGCGACGAGGACATTCTGATGGAGTTTGGCAATGACGAGGGATTCCTGCAGGTGTTTTCTGCGCCTAGTGTCAGCTCTCACCTTTTTCTTTCCTTGTTTCTTGGGCTCTTTTCCTCTGCATGTATGGGGCAAAGAATCACTTACATGGCAGACACAGAGTCATCTTGGTCAAAGGCCACACATCCGAGCTTGTAGAGGCATGCGCCATTGAAATGGTGCGTGCGGACCAGGCCCTTTTCAAGCCATACCCGGTGTGCCTGCGTGTATTCCTCTTGGGCCCGAGCAAAGTCACCTTCCGCACGGCCGATATTGCCGCGTACGAAATAGGTGCTTGGGAGTGTCAGCTGTGATGATCCCGATGCAGTGCTCTACCTTGAAATGGTACTCACTATGCCAGCATAGCCCAGTTCTCAGACTCGGAGAGAAGGTTTACGGCAATGTGACACCAGACCTGTGCCTCCGCAAAGTTACCCACGAGATACTTGCATCGTCCCAGGTTCTGGTAGAGGATAGCCTGGGAGTGCATGTGCTTTGCATCTTCCCCGCCGGTGCTCTGACGGTTCCGGAGCGCCTTGATCTGCCATTCCAGCGACGACGAGAAGTTGCCCACAGAGGCTTCCAGGTTGGCCATGTTAATCTCTGCCCAGCTCAGCTCCAACCCGTCGGGCGGGTCGGCTGCTGAGCGGATCTTGTGCGACTGCTCGAGCCATGGCCGCGCGAGGGAAAAGGAACCGCGATGTGCCCACGCTAAACCCGACGAAGCGCACAAATCGGCGTACAAGTACTGGTTCTTCTCCTCTGGCGCGATTTCATCAAACGCGGATATGGCTACAGCCAGGGAATCTTGAACTTCCGTGTAGGAGGCAGATTCGAGAAGGAATCTGCCCGCGGGTTAGTTAGTAGCCATAGCAGTTAGAAAGCGAGTCGATACTTGCCGTGCCAGGCTTTTGAGGAGCATGCAGAACTTTAAGCTGGGTACAAGTGGCTGTGTACTCGTCGCGGCCTCCTTGTACTGGTTCTTGAGGTTGAGGACGTGCTGCAAATACCGCTGGCACTCGGTCCACCGGTCGTAGAGCTGCCCCTTCTTGGCGTCTGACTGAGGGAATGCCTCGAAAAGAAGACATGTTGTATAGTAGAAAAAACGTTGATTATCGGCGGGGGAGGAAAAATGGCGAAATTGCTGTTGCATCAGGCGATGCAGAGAAAGAATGCGTGCCGACTTTTCCCGCTTGATGAGAGCGAGCGTCAGTAGCTCGTCAATAAGGTTGGAAAGACTAACCATCGAATTAATACACGGGGATGGTATGTCAAGCCATACAAGATAACTCACGCAAGCTGATCACGACAAATTTCTAGCTCACTGGGCAGGTCTTGCACACCGACGGGCTCAAATAGTACCTGAGGGATCGAATCTGGCGTCAGGTAGCACATGATGCCCAGCAGGGTGGCGCAGTCTTGACTTAGGGACTGGAAAGAGAGCCGCCATACCGCTTCAAGAGAGTTAGTGCCGGGCATGCTATCTATTTGTCTCGTATTTCGGTCATAAATCACTATGAACTCGGAAATGCTCCAGGATCCTCTATGGATCAGATTGCTGCGCGCAGTTACGAGCACTAGCATATATTAGTATTGATCAAAGGAACTTTGATTCTACCACCAAACCTATTGGTATGTGTTTCTGGGGATGTGAAGATGGATTCAAGGCTCGGCAAGGGATCGAGGGCACACAATGGAGCGGCCGTCACGGACTGTTGTATGGAGGCATGTTTCACCACCTCCGCATTGTATGTGTTACTATATAACACAAGCCTGTGTAACCTCAGCTGCTTGCCTGCTCTTACCGCCGCCCGCGCCTGGCAACCATCTTAAAATCGCTATGCAGGCCCAAAATTTGTTCGAGGCCCAAGCCTCCAACAAACGGGCTCGGCTGCGCTCATGCAGTCACTCCTCGCCCGCATCCTGTTACCGGTACGTACATTCGGATATGCATCCTGCATATATGTAGCATTTACTTTGTGCAACATCCCTCGACTTATCGACTGACTGCCAACGTGCCGTGCTATAGCCATCATATTTTGTCCGTGTCCCAATCCCGTTTCGTCTCAAAATGACCGTCGTTTCGCTCGCCGCATCACCGGCTCCCGCCGTCCGCTCGTCATCTTCCGTAGTTGTCGGCTCCCCGTCCAACTTCTGGTTGTTCAGCCACCGTCACGGCTTCGACATGACGCACCCACCTACGCCCGATGCGCCGCCCGTCTATCCCCGACTCACCCTCACGACGAGCAACTCCCCGGTCACAATCGCCCCCGCCAAGACGGCCCTCGTCATCATCGACATGCAAAACTTCTTCCTCTCAGCGGCCATGGGGCGCAAGCGCGGCGAGGGCCACGAGGCCGAGACGGTCCTGCTCGAGCAGGGCATCCCCGCCGCGAGAGAGGCCGGGATACAGGTCGTCTGGCTGACCTGGGGCATCTCAGAGGAAGGCATCAAGACACTGCCGCCGACAGTGTGGCGCATCTTTGGGTGGGAGATTGCCGATGATGACCAAGGGTTTGAGGTTCCTGCTGGCGCTGACGATGCGCAAGGCGACGAGGCGTCCGGCCCCATCATGCGAGTTCCAGAGAGAAAGTCGCACGGCGGCATTGGATCCGAGCTCGGCTCCGTCACTCTTGCAGACGGCTCCGTCGTCGACGCGGGCAAGATGCTCCTCCGCGACCAGTGGAACACGCGCCTCCACGGACCGCTCGAGGAGGCCTTTGAAGCCGGCCAGCGCGCCGCGGTCCCAGACGTGCGCTTCCACAAGGAACGCCTGTCCGGCCTCTGGGGCGACGCGCACTCCAACCACCTCGAGACGTTTCTACGGAAAAGGGGCCTCCAGACGTTGCTTTTTGCTGGGGTGAATACGGACCAGTGCGTGCTGGCTACGGTGCAGGACGCGTCCAGCAAAGGGTTCGACACGGTGTTATTGCGAGATGGATGCGGTACGACGAGCCCCGAGTATGCCCGGCAGATGGTCGACTTTAACTGCCAGAAATCATGGGGGTTCATTTCGAGCTGTGAGGCGCTGGCGAGAGGGGTCAAGGGGATGGTCAAGGATAAGCCCATGGATGGAGGCGGTTCATGATTACCGATGGCGGAATCGAAGTAGCCCCATACACCAGAGTTACGAACAAGGCATAGTATGTGTACAAGCAGTTTGCCATGATAGGCAAGATATTTAATCATCTTCTTCTGGCACCGCCCCTTGATCTCGCCTAGCATATAGAAAAACCCTCATGTGCTATGACATGACCATACCCCGAGCCGTGCCAACCTTTACAGCTTCGATTCTTTTTCTTTCTTCTCTATCACCAAGTCAGCACATGTCCAAACAGCATCCTTTACGCACATACCCTGCAGTTCCTGAATCTTCTTGATAAATCTCGCCGTCGGTGCCCCTTCCACCAGCCTCTCATGCAGCGCATCCATGGCATCAAACGCCGCCAGCAGCCTCTCGTTCCGCAGCGGCGCCGTCTGGAGCCTCTTTGCAATCATCATGCTCTTTCCGTCATTCTGCTGCAGCTGGCGCTCCAGAAACGCCTCGACATGCGACAGGAAGCCCTCGGTCGGGTAAACCTCGCTGACGGTGCCCCATGCGTGCAGCTGCTGCGCCGTCACCTTGTTGCCGTAGAGGAGCATGTCGTTGGCGCGGTGGATGCCCAGGCTGTGCGACAGCGTGCGGATCGAGCCGTTCTCGGGCACGAGCGCGAGCGCCGAAAACGGCGCGTGCAGGTGGCACGAGTCGGCGGCGAGGATGGTGTCTGCCAGGCCGGGGAACCACGCGGCGCCGCCGCCGGTCGCCGGTCCGTTCAAGGCGAGGACGAAGATTTTGCCGTGGTCGATGATTGTGCGGATGAGTTCAAGGCCTGCCGAGGGTCAGCGCATGTCCTACCTGGAAATGCAGAGGACAGGGCACGGACAAGGGAAAAGGTGAGTCGCGTGTGCGATTTTGGCGTCGGCGTCGGTTTCGAACGGACCGCTTGGGAAACTGTTGTCTGCGCAAGGTGAAAGTTGGTCAGCTGCTTGCTGGGCTGTACAAATTACACTACGTGGTGCCGAAGGTCGTACTTCGAATGTCCCAGCCGGCGGAGAAGAATCGGCCTGCACCGGTGAGGACGGTAAATACGGTATCGGGATGCTCGTTGAGCTCCCGAAAGGCGTTGATTGTTTCCGGGAGTAGTCGGCCACCGAAAGCATTCAAGTAGTCGGGGCGATTAAACTGCGACAGTCAGTAGCCGCGTCTCGCTACATTGCATGTCGGAAAATGACCTTTATTATTCCGACCTGTCCTGCGACCTCGACAATAATGTCGTTGTAATCCGTCTTGACCATGGCGCCGTGATGTGTGCGATTGCCACGTTTATTCAGTGAGGTGTTGACTATGAGATGCGCTGCCAATATTATTTGCTGAGGTGCTGGCGTACATTCAATTGATGGGCAGGCTGAAACGAGGAGACAAGACCCTCTTGTACTACTGTCATGAAGCCGAGAAGCCTAGGCCAGCAGGAGCTAAAAAAAGAAGTTGATGCTCCGCCCCCGGATTTTCGCCCCAGATGATATCCAAAACCCCGAAAATATAATTTTATCACGATTCCTCACTTGCAGTATTCTACGTTTCTCGGTAATCATGTACTTGGAGAGTGGATGCTTAGCTCCTTGTGAGAGACGAGGTTAGAGACATGAATAAATGTCGCAAGGTGCAAATGGCGTACAAGTCCTACGCTGTGCGCCATCTAGCAATAATCATGTAAAGGTAGTTTGTATAATCCGACGACTGACTTGTTCCTGCCCGAGGCTCTTGATATACGTAGGCTATATGGTCTTACGACATACGGGGCGTGATTTACAACCCCACAGTGACCTTGGCGACGCAATATTCGAGCTGAATACACTCCATCCCTCGAACCCACTCCATGACATCTGACATCCTCGGATCAATGAGCACCACCGGCGACCTGTGCGGGTATGTGAATGGGATGCCGACCCTTGATTCCGCGTTATCAGTCACATTCAACAAACGGGCACTCGACAAAGGGCAGGTAACCCAGTCCCCTCCTGCGCAGAGCGAGGAACATCATGGCCAGCTGTAGTTGTATATTTGGACCGGGAGTACGATCAAAATGACTCGCAGCCACGACGGCAGCCCGGAGGCGTCGTCGGTAATCCTGACCGGCCCAGCCGGCGTGTCGACCAAGTTCGTCCATGTCTGAAACCGGCCGAGACTTTCGAGGAGACGATCAGTGGAATCAAGCGTGCTGAATCCGGTCAAACTGAATCCGCTCCAAAGGGTGTTGAGATCTCGGTCTGCGGCCGACTCCAGAGACGATGGACCGTCGACTTGAGATAATTGAGAGTCCAGACCCGGGATTCTAGTCGGCGTAATAAATACCTTGAGCACCGGCTTGACAAGAGTTACAAGTCGGAGGACGGAGAGGTTCGCAACGAATCAATGCATTGGCAGTCACTTCGATGAACGGATCGACGAAGGGTTCGAAAACGAATTAAATACATTGGTAAACACGTCAAAAACAAAGAATTGACCGGTGCCCGCGACCGGTTTCTTGCAGCTGATTTGGTGCTGAGACTCAGCAACGGCCACTAAGCTTGGTCGTGATTCCCTGATTTCCGTCGGGTAGGAAGGAACGCGAGGTACTCAATTCACTATCCCTCACAACCACAACCAAACAACACCATCAATAAAAAAGAGCTCAACGCAAAATACAAGAGACTGGATCTGTTTCTACTCTGCGTTATTCGCCACACCTTCGCCCTGTTCCCCAGCCGAGAGCTGTAATTTGGCGCTGCAGGATGGTTATGTATCAGTGCAGCCCGGATTTTGGGTATTACAAAGGCCACGTTTATACATTCACTTCTTCAGACGCGAGCCAACGGCCTCATTCAGCCGCTTCCAGCGACCCCTCGTGTCGATAATACGCCTGCATCGACATGTATCTCTGGGCCAGCTCCTGAATGCTGAGCTTTGTAAAAAGGGCCATATCACGGTCCGAGGAATCAAACACGGCGCTCTCCAAGTCCAAAACCCTCATCCTCCCATCCACCAGGACAAAGTTAGACAGGTTAATGTCGTCGTACTGCACGCGAAATGGATGCAATGCTCGGTAGCACGGCAGGAGCAGTGCGGCCAGCTCGCTCAACCTCAAGGTGGCGCCCTCAGGCGACGACATCAATATGCCCTGAACATGCTCGAGGATCATAGCCCTTTGGCCTTTATAGCGCACGCTGCCAAAGAACTGCGGGATGATCAGGCCCTGGATCGGTCTCATCAGGCGGTATGCCTTGAGCTCGGCATCAAAATGCTCGTCTAGGATTTCCTCGCACTCGCCGGATTTCCGCATCTTCATGACGACACAGTCAGGGAGAAACCACTCAGGAAATAGAGCGCGTATCCAACCCTGGACGCGGGGGGGTAGGAGGCCGACGGCAGAGGCGATCAGGTTCGCGACGGCGGATGGACGAAGCTGGAGGCCGAGCACGTGCGGGTGCAGATCGGAGAGCTGGGCAGCCGTGGCCGACAGGCACCGGGTCCGGAACCAGAAGTGCTTTCCCCGGCGTCTGGTGAGCAGGGAAACGTCGCGATGGAGAGATGCAGCGTGGAACTTACGATGGGCTGTGCCGCGGGGAGTGGGCGTTCGAGATAGGGGCGCCCCGCGAGCCGCGCGGCTGAGAGACGGTAGTGCTCGGGCTCGCCAGGGCGGCGGTACACGGGTAACTGGATCTCGTAATCCTCATTGGGCTGCGGCGAGGATGGGGGCTGTGAGGTGCTGTTGTCATTCATGGTTTCCATGGTTCATGAACGAAGAATGAATCGCCGGCTGGATTGTGCCACAGATTCCTGTCGTGACGTTTTTTACTAAGAATAAAAAGGATTTATATAATAAACTTAATAAACTCAATAAAATGAAGTATTCACGGATATCAGGAGCGAGTTTCATTCTAGTTTTATTTTTTATATTGCTTTTGGGAAGATATTACCCCTTTGTGAGCCGTGTACGCCACCATTTTGAGATGCTCCACACTTGGGCAGGTCTAGAATCCGGGGTAGACTCGGCGGGCTTCGAGCTTCGAGACACAATCAGCCATCCATGTGCACCTGACCAACGCTGCGTTATCGGAGACTCTCTGGTAACTAATAGCCATGGCCATGTGCGGGGTGAGGTTGGTAGCACGCCCAACTGCTCCCAATACTCCCAACTCGATGATAAAAGAACCCGGCTCCCACGGCTTGGGCTCTGAGGGTGCACCAGCTCCCACAGCGCTTCTTTACACGTCTTTTACCACGTCCATCAAGAACCTCGCCATCTAACCTCTCCGCCATGACAACCGAATACGACGTCGCCGTCGTCGGGCTCGGCGCGCTCGGAAGCGCCGCCGCCTACTACGCGGCCCGCAAAGGCGCCAAGGTCATCGCGTTGGAGCAGTTTGAGCTCGGCCACGTCCGCGGCGCATCGCACGACACGTCGCGCATCATCCGCACCTCGTACGAGGCGCCGCACTACGTCGCGCTCGCCAAGTCGGCCTACCGGGACTGGGCGGACCTCGAAGCCGCCGCCGGCCAGACGCTGACCAGCACGACCGGCGGCCTGGTGTTTCTGCCCGAGGGCGGGCCGCTGTCGCCCGACGCCTTTGCGACAAGCCTGGCGCACAACGACATACCCTACGAGCTGCTGACGGCGGACGAGGTGCGCGCGCGGTGGCCGCAGTACAGCGTCGCGCAGACGGTGCGCGCCGTGTACACCCCGGACTCGGGCATCGTGCACGCGGCCAAGGCCGTCATGGCGATGCAGCACCTGGCGCGCGTCCACGGCGCGCAGCTCAGGGAGCGCTCGCCCGTCACGGCTGTGAAGCCGCAGGACGGGGGCGGTGTGGTGCTTGAGACGGCCGGGGGCGCGTTTTCCGCCAAAAAGGTCATCCTGGCGACGGATGCGTGGACAAACGCGCTGCTGGCGCCGCTGGGCGTCACGATCCCGCTGCAGGTCTCGCAGGAGCAGGTGACGTATTTCAAGCCCGCCGACGTGTCCGCGTTTGAGGCCAGCCGGTTCCCCGTGTGGATCTGGCACGCGGACCCGTGCTTCTACGGGTTTCCCGTGTACGGCGAGCCGACGATCAAGGTGGGCCAGGACTGCGCGATGAACCTGATGACGCCAGAAGAGCGCACGTTTGTGCACTCGCCCAAGATTCTGGACGATCTGTGTGCTTTTCTGAAAGGCTTTCTGCCCGACGAGGCGAGGGAGCCGCTGCGCACGGTGACGTGCCAGTACACGACGACGCCGGGACGACAGTTTATTCTGAGCGCGCTGGGCAGCCATCCGGATGTGATTGTGGCGCTCGGGGCGGCGCACGCATTCAAGTTTGCGCCGGCCATTGGGAGGAATCTGGCCGAGTTGGCGATGGATGGACAGAGTACGGATGACTTGTCCAAGTTTGGCATGCCGAGCGGTACTGGCGATGACTGATGGGGCAGGGTTGCTGGCATGTCGAGTGTGCTGGCGATGACTGACCCTGGTTGGCCTGTCGAGTGTGCTGCGATAATTGAGGCATGGTAGATTAAACGCTATTATATCCTAATAACTGCAATGAATGTAATTGAAGTCGATGAACTTGGTGAAGAAGAGAAAAATCGTGCTAGGAGTACAAATTAGGTTTACAAATTAGAAATTCCACCATACAAGTTATAGTGGGCCCTATATGCTTTTTGACGCAACAGTTGTAAAGTGAATTCAACACTGTCAAACTGTGTAGCCAGAATAGCCAGAACCTGCAAGACCAATTTTCAGCTGGTACTTACTTATCTCTGCCTAAATAAGAGGGACAGAGCAAGTGTAGACACCAGAGCACAAATAAAGAGCAAAACAGCACCGTCCCCCAAGCTCTTCTCCTTCTCTCATCCCTCCATACAATCATACAGCTTCAAGCTGACCAGGCGGGACAAATGAAACAAACTTGGTCTGTTACACTTGTACAACGAAAACGAATACAATTTCGGTACTTTGTTTTGACAGAAACGGCGCGGGGTATGTAGCCCAATCACGAGACGTGACTAGATGTACCTATTCGGACTACATCAAACATCAAGGTTGCGCAGCCTCGTTTTTCACTGATATTTGGGTTTATTCTAAAGTTTCTGGACCAAATTGTTGCGTGGCCTCTCGACTTTGCGGACAAACGCCGCATAACCAAACCATGGTTGCCCTGACGCCCTGACACAGCCGCTGGCGCAGCGGACGTACCGTGGAGTGGGGCGACAAGTGCTCCTATGATAAACTGACCGATATATACTATGTACATACGTACGTACATAGTGCCAGCTTGGTGATTAAGCCCAATGACAACGACAAACGCTGTGTACCTGTGGTGAGGGCACTAGTTACTGGCACCACTTGCACAGTGCACTTTAGTGCTTCGCCAAACCAGATCAGATCCCCTAGAGAAGTAACAAGTAACCCGGCTTCTGCTCTAACTGTCACGGTTTTACTTTGTAGTAGTGTCCACACTGTAGGAACTTGATGGACCTACATGAGAGAGTACCCTGGTACTCACTACCCACCCGCCTACCTTGTAGGTAGGCGACTTCATAGAAGGCAGGTGGCGCACAACAGAATGCCGGTACCTACGTCTGCAGGCACCGTGGGCCGTCAGGCTGGCTGGGATGGTCCCACTGGTCATGAGTTGTCCTTTGAACTATCGTAGCGCAAGATACCTTCAACTGCGAGCTCGTCTCTCTCTGCTCGAGGTACCTTCCACCGACTTGGACATCTGCCACCAACGACCGCCCGCCTTTTCAGCCTGGCTGGCCCGCCTCTGCCTTGGGCCTTTGGTCTCTTTCCCCTTCCCTTTTTTGCCTTTCCCTTGCTTCCCTTTTGCCTGGCCCGCCGCTTCAGCGTTGCCGTGTCCCACCGCACTAACTTTACAAGTCACAGTGGTCACAGTGCACCACAACTCAACTCAACTCCTCAAACTCACTCGTGTACACCAGGAATCCCTGGAATCCCACCTACGGCCACGCTGCACATCATCCACACTCCACCACCGTTATAACACTCGCAGGGTCGTCACGCTCACCACCCACCACCAAACACCATTGCTCGCCTCCATCCCCATCCCCATCCCCGTCCACCCCCCCGGCCTCGTCTCTTGCTCTTTATTTTTTCTCTTCTCTTCTCTTCTCCATCTTCTCCCCACCCTCTCTTTCGATTTTACATGTTTTCGTCAGACTCGGGCCCGTATTGTCACAATCGGCACCATGTCTGAGCCCGACCAGTGCATCATATGCCTGGACCATCTGCCTACGCCCGCTAACAACATCAATAACGGCACTTCCTCTGACGATTCTGTCCCCCTCGCCCTCAAAACCCAACTCCGCGAGCCCGATGATAGCTATCTCAACATTGTCGCTGCCTTGGACGGCTGCGAACACATTATTCACGATACTTGCATCCGCTCATGGGCCCAAAAGACCAACACCTGCCCTATATGCAGGACTCCGTTCCACTCCGTTCGCGTCTACAACGGCCTTGATGGTATGACAGTCACACCCGCCCTCGATACCCTGCATTCCAGTCCGATGAATTTTCCAACTGCTTGTCCTTTTTTCTAACCATTCGTCTACTTGAATAGGAACCGCCGTTTCGACATATTCAGTAAAAGACAAGAAACAGGTTGCCGAGTTCGACGTCCAGCAATGGCTCGGTGACAACGCCGAAGAAGAAGACGAAGTCTCCAACCCCTGCCCGGTCTGCAATTCCGCCGAACGAGAAGATATTCTACTCTTGTGCGACAGCTGCGATGCTGCCTACCACACCCACTGCCTCGGCCTCGACCACATTCCCGATGGCGACTGGTACTGCATGGAGTGCGCCCACGCGTTTGAGCTCACAGAGGAATCACAAAATGGCTCTCAGCCCGTCGATTCCGAAGCACCACAACCACACCCCAGGCTGGTTCGCCGACCCGCTGCTCGCCAACATCGTGGCTTGCATGTTCGCACGCGTGCGCGTTGGCGGCGGGCTCGTCGACAAGCTCGCAATGCCGAGTGGCAAGGTCCCTGGGGCCAGTTCTCTGGTCGTTTTTACGAGATGAGCGACCTCGACCTCGACAACCTCGACGGAGAGGACGAGGATCTCGAAAACTTCCGCCGATTTCAGCAGCTCGATCTCCATGAACTTCAACGCTGGCAGCAGCGCATGTCCATTGCCAACCGCCTCGGTGCCCACGATGCCTTCGTCAGCACCATCCCTCCCCAGATTAGTGAACGCCTGCAACCTGTCGCAACCCCCCCACCCCCTCCACCTATACAGGAGACTCGCGATGAACGAAGGGCCTGGGGAGCCCTCGACATGGCTCGTGAAGCCGAAGGTGCTCCTACGCCTGGAAATGCACGCAAGCGCAAGGCCACCTCTTCCATCGCATCCCCTGCTGAGCCTATACCTGAGCCCGAGAGGAAACTGAAACGGCCACGAACCCGCCGTTTACCCACACATGTCGAACCTTCTACCTCTGCTCCATCTCCCGCTGCGGCAGGTCCTTCCAATCAACAACAGACCCGGCCCGGCATTGACACTGCCCCTGTTCATGGTTCACCGTCGCGAGCAGGACAGCTCCAACTAACACCAATCGAGCCCGCCCTTGTTTCTGCCCTACTCAAGGAACTGGAACCCAGTGCGCAGTCGGAAGATGAGAATGGTGTGGCGCTACCTATGCGACAGATGCCCGATGCATCCTCTCCCGCCATATCGCCTTCAACCTCAAATCATAGCAGCCCGAGGGCCATGTGCTTGACACCACCCCCGCTCCCCCGACTGAATGGGCGCCCTACTTCCCCGACGCTTTCCCTCAGCACCCATATTGAACCCGTCTATGCTCCTGCCAATTATTCACCGAACCGGTACAGCAGCGACCACAGTGACTCCGAGTCACGGCTTGCGCGCGCGGAAGCGATCCGAACAGTGGAAATTCGCCAGCCAAGACCTCGCCGGCCGCAAACCACCATTGCACGCACGCCAGATAGCTCTCCGACCAGGCTCACCATGACTCAAGAGGACAAGAGAAGCATCAACGACATTGTCAAGTCGGCTCTGCGGCCACACTGGCGTGCGCAGAAGCTGACAACAGAGCAATATGCAACCATCAATCGAGATATTTCTCGACGACTGTACGAAGAAGTCAAGGGTGCCTCGGTACTTGATCAAGCCACCCGGCGCAGATGGGAACAAAAAGCGGACAAGGCTGTCGCACAAGCCATATCTGATCTGACAGCCGCTTGATGATGACAAGACGGCAACACAGACTATCATTGCATTGCAGGAAGGGAGGCGTTTTATTATTTTATTTTTCAGCGACGATAATGTCTGCAATACTCGTTGGCTATATGCGCTGTACTTCTTTTATGACTTATTCTGATTTTTGGCAACCGGGGTGATCCAAGCAAGGCGTTTCAAGGACCAAAGATCTGTTGGCAGAGGGTCATTTTCTAGCGAAATTTTTCTTAGCACATAGAACATGTCGCTCATTGTCAGCTGGAGTCAGGATGATTATGTATTTGAGTTTTTAGTTATGGTTCCCAGGGCGTTCGAAGCATTTGAAATATACACATGTCGCGCATGTCCCGAGCAGGACAACGACCAAACACGCGCTAAGGGCTTCCAAATGCAATCAATGGTTGAGTGTTTACATGACATGTCAGCAGTATCTATCTAACAGGACCCGGTGAGGTTTTTTGCAGGTGCCGCTAGCGAAAAGACTGCGATAGGAATTCTCTCGGCACTTATAAATGATCACGACGTTTTGGAGGTGTACAAACAAGTCTTGACGATAAGGAAAAAGTGCCTTGAAGAGAAGAGAAGAGGAGAAAGCTGGCGCGGTGGCCGACGTTTCTGCTTTTTACGTGGTGGGCACAATGCTGGCGGCCTGAGGATTCAGGTGCGCAGTGGTTACCTAAGCATTCATTTTGCTGCTCTGAAGCTTTGCTCTGTCGCGTGCTGAGGAGGAGGATGCAGTGGTAAAAAAAAGCGCCTAGCGGGTACAAGGTAGAGAGCAACTCCAAATTCTCTCCACGTTTCGCGCAGTCGAGGACAGGGTGAACCAACGTCCCAACGACAGTCATGTCCTCATCTAGCAGAGGAAGCCGGACATTACGATCCGTGCTATCTAGTACGTTTGTTTATTCCGCTCCGGTTGGTCAATTCGACTCGCCCCTTGCGAAGGAGAAAGTCAACAGCAAGCCAAAACGACGAGAATCCCCTTTTGCTAACAGTCATCATCACCAGCTTCTGCTACTAGCATCTGCTCCCGCTGCGCTGCCACCCGAACGCACCCCTTGCGCTTCTACTCTGCCGTCAGCGTCATCGACACCACCACCACCGCCCCTTCCACCTCACAACCACCCGCGTCCGCCGCCACCGCGTACGACATTCGCTCCGGGCTGATTCTAACACGCCCGCCGCTCCTCACCCGTCCGCTGCACCCCTTTGAGAGCGCCTTCTTCTTCTACCAGAAGCGTCTCGAGGAGCGCCTCAACACGGCCTTTATCCCGTCCATCTACTACAAGCCCGACACGCCGCGGCGCCTCGACTGGGACCTCAAGGTCAAGGAGCGCCAGGGCACCGTGGCCAAGGAGCTCGGCGCGTACCACGGCCACAGCGCCACGGCGTGGGACGACGAGCTGCTCGTCGGCGACCCGCTGAGCGCCCCCGAGACCGCCACCGCCAGTCTGCTGCGTGACGCCCAGGCCAGGATCAGCGACGATGCCGAGGTCATTGCCCCCGAGGACCTCATGGAGGTCCCGGCCCCGCGCCCCCGCCGCACCGAGGCCGACGAGCGCGGCGACGTCCGCCGCCTCGACAGGAAGCTCGACCAGACGCTGTACCTCGTCGTCAAGGGCAAGGACGGCTGGGGCTTTCCGGCCGACGTACTGGCCGAGTCGGAGAACCTTCACGTGGTACGTACACATATCCGAAAGAAGATAAAAAAACTTCGATGAAAAACAACTGACCATGCCTGTCAAAATAGGCGGCGCAGCGGGCCCTCCAGCAGGCCGCCGGCGTCAACATGAATACGTGGATCGTCGGCCGCGTCCCCGTCGCCCACCTCATCGACGAGCCCACGCGCGCCGCCGACGGCGCCGTCCAGAAAAAGGGCCGCAAGACGTTTTACCTCCGCGGCCGCATCATGGCCGGCCAGGCCGACCTCGCCGGCAACTCCCTCGGCTATACCGACTTTCAGTGGCTGACGCGCGAGGAGCTCGAGCAGGCGCTGCCCGCGGCCTACTTTCGCGGCGTGCGCAACATGATGTCGGATCGGTAGAGATGGCTCTCCAGTGTAAGACAGTGTAAAGCCGATGGACAAGCGAAAAAAGTGTACAAATAACAGCATGGCGGGAAAACGCAGGGGTTGAGCGGCTTGGTTGTTTGTGACCAAGTTGACATGTACAATTATCTTCTTCGCCTTGTGCGATATTCAATCTTGTTTCTCTATTTGATTTTCAAAAAATGCATATCAAAACTACAGAGGGACTTCGGCTTGACCAAAAAGGACAGAATTGCCCCTCGAGATGTACATGCACCACATGGCCGGATTGAAATTGCAGGCAACATGCATGAGATATAAACTAGTATGGAGATCAGCCCTCAACATAATGGCCAATATATATGACCATGTAGTATTGCTGTCAACAAGCAAAACATGTCCAAAACAGGAGGAAAAAAAATGGCCAACACACTTTGTCCATTTACAGGATATCCCCAGCCCACATAACTTGACAAAAAAGTTCAAATCCCCCTTTTCCAACGCCAAATGCTCCAAGCCAAATAACAAAGACACGGGCATCCGTGCCCTTCTCTCACACACACGCACACACATCCAACAGCCGAGAACCAACCCCATATTCATTCATGTTCATGTCCCCTCATTTTACTTCTCACACGGGCTTGGCCTGGCCCTCGACAAAGTTGAGAGCGTCCTCGCGGGGCACGCAGTTGACGCCGCTCGTCTTGTTGTGGAACGTGACGCCGTAGCACTTGTCGGCCGTGTGCACAATCTCGGGGCGGAACGTGGTGCAGATGAACTGCGTGCCGGCCTCGTTGGAGATGCTCTCGAGCAGGGCCGCGACGGCGGTGCGGTACTGCGCGTCCAGGTTGGCGTCGACCTCGTCAAAGATGACCATGGGGCTGCTCTCCGTCTGCTGCAGGGCAAAGATGAGGCAGAGCGCGCAAAGACCTAGCGGGGCGACGTGTTAGCATGGGGGGACGAGAGTTGAGGAGGAAGGGGGGGGGCTTACTCTTTTGACCACCGCTGAGCTGCTGGATACGCTGCTGCTCGTCTAGGTGCTTCGAGTTGAAGGAGACGCTGATGCCGACACCAATGTAGTTCTCGACGCTGCCGCGCGCTTCCTCGTCCGACTCCTCGAGGTCTTGGCGACGGTCCGTCCGGCGTTGAATGACAAGACGACCGTGACCGGCCGGCACTAGCTTCTGGAAGATGCTGGCAAACTCCTTGGACACCTGCTTGAACGTGCGCTCAATGGCCTCGTCCTTGCGGCGGTCCAGGTGCTCCACCAGCTCCTCGATGGAGCCCTGCGAGGCGTCGAGCTCCTTGCGGCGCTTCATCAGGTGGTCCTCCTGCTGCGTAAAGTTGCTGTACTGCTCAAAGGCCTTCTTGTTGACGTGCTTGTACTTTTTGAGCGCCTCGTTGACCTTTTTGAGCTTGTTCGTGATGACCTTGGCCTCCATGTTCTCGTACTTGTCAAACGCCTCCTCGGGCAGCACGCCCAGCTCCCGGATATTCTTGGCGCACTCCGCGGCCTGCGTTGTGAGGAGCGCCTTGCGCTGCAAGCTCTTCTCCAGGCGCTTCTGCTGCTTCTCGATCCGCGCCGAGATTTCGTTTTGCGCCTGTTCGCGCTGGCCGCGCTCGGCATGGAGGGTCTCGGCACGAGTCCTGAGGTTGTCGATCTGCTGCTCCGTTTCGTGCAGGCCGTTGGTGACCGTCTTTAGCGTTGTCTGTGCCTTCTTGAGCTCCTTTTGCACATCGCCCAGACCCCCAGATGTACCTGATGAGGCAGAGTTCTCAAAGGCTTGACTGTTGAGCTGGTCTAGCTTCATTTGCAGGTTCTGGCGGAGATCAACTTCGAGAAACTGTTTCCTGCGCTCCAGCTCTCGTCTAGTATTGCTGATTTGATTCCATTGCTGCTGAAGCTGTTGAGTCGTGAGGCTCAGACTCTCAAGTTCCTGCTCTTCAACCGCAGTCAAGCTCTTCTTGAATTCAGTGCTCAACTCAGCTTCGTGAGCAGCTACCTCTTCCATGAACACGCTCATGTTCTTCTCCACAGCGTCGCGCCGTTTCATGGCAGCCTCAAGGTGAGCTCTCTCAGCCTCAATGTGCGCAGTCTTGTTCCGCAGCTCATGCTTCACAGGCTCAAAACCGTCCTCGGCCTGTCGAAGCTTTTGCTCTGCCTTCTGCACATTGGACATGGCTGCCGTGATTTCCTGGTCCTTGCGCTCAATCTGCTCTCTCAACTCGCGAGACTGCGTAATCAAGTCGTCGAATTCGCGTCGCCACTTGTTTGCAGACTGTACTGCTTCGAGTCGCGATTTTCTAGGATCAATGTAACCACCGGTCATAGCACCTCGTTTGTTGGTCGTATCACCTTCCACAGTGATACCGTCAACGCCATGGCTGCGAGCGTACTGTGCAGCCACTGCCAGGTTGGGGCACACAACAGTCTTTCCAAATACCTGCTGAAATGCCCTCTCATACATGGAATCAAAGCTGATCTTGCTGAGGAGTGGCACCGCGTCGCTTGACTTTGGCATGTTGATGTGTCGCGATCGGAGCTGTGCGAGCGGCATGAATGTGACTCGTCCACCACGCTGTTTGAACAGGATGTCGGCCAAGTAGGTAGCAGTGTCGGCGTTGTCGACAACGTAGTGGAAGAGGCTAGAGCCGGCAATCTGCTCAACCGGCAAGCGGTATGCTTCGTTGACTTGGAGCAAGTCAGCCAGGGTACCATAAGCACCGGGGATGTCCTGGTCTTGCTTCATTCGCCGAATGGTCGCGAGACCACGGGCAGTGGCTCCATCAACAGCGTGTGACATTTCTCGGTCCGCCTGCTCTTTCTCCTGGCGTGCGTTGGAGATGACTGAATTAAGCTTGTCATCCTCGCGGCGCAGCTGTTTGCGCTCGTCGTTTAGTTGATCCAGAGCTTGTCTAGCCTCGGCTGCCTGGTCGGCGTAGCCAGTTCTGTCGCTGCTCCAGTTGGCGAGGCGAGATCGCAGATCAGCAATTTCTTCCTCCCCATGGGCGATAATCTGCTGAACGCGCTGCACTTCCTCGTCAGCGTCTAGGCGATTTGCCTTTTGTGTGCTAGTGGTGACGGTGAGCTCATTAATCTCTTGCTTTAGCCAGGCGTCACGCTCGGACTTGTTTTTAAACCGGGAGCCTCGACTCTGCTTGGCAAAAAGACGGCTGCGGGTGCCCTCAGCGGCATCAAGCTGCCTGCGAATTTCAGTTTCTTCCTGCTTTCTCTTGTTGTACTTGGGAAGAAGCTTGGCGAGCTCATTCTCCTTGGCTGCAATATCACTCTGCACAGACTGTAGCTCTGTGGCTTGCTGAGTGCGTGCTTGTTCGTGGGCCGATTGGCCTTCCTTGAGATTTCTGACCTTGAGCTCGAGTTTTGCCAGAGTCTTGGCACTATCGCGGCGGTCCTCCTCCAGCTGACTGCGGTCAATTTGCAAAAGCTCAATCTGGCGCTGTAGTTTATGGATTTCGGCATCAAACTTGGCCATTGCCTTTTCACCCTGAATGAATTCGGCACGACGCGACTCGGTAGTATCCAGGCCATCTTGCCGCGCGTTGTCAATATCCTCCAGCGCAGATTGGATAGTGACCTGTTCACGGTGATGGTAGGCGTATTCGAGACAACGTCTTTCGCGATCCTTGTCCTGGAAGCCGCGCAGTTCTTCTTTTTCTTCTTGAAGTTCGGCCAGTCGCTCTTTGATGTATTCGAGGAGTTCGTCGATCTTTTCGCGCTTGTTGTTTGTTTCGTTCATAATCTTGAGTGATTCGGCGCGGCGCGCTTCGTAGACCTGTGTGCCCGCGACTTCCTTGAGCAGGTTGAGTCGGTCGGATTCTTTCATGTTTGTCAAAGCCGTGACGCGACCCTGCGGGACAATATAGTATGGGTTGGAGCGAGAGAAGCCCGCAGCTTCCAAAAGATTTGTGACGTCGGTCTTTGTGACTACTTTGCGGTCGACAGAGTATTCGTCCTTTTTCAAGCCAATGGTGCGTCGCAGAACGACTTCCTTGTTGCCTGTTGGAAAGCGATCGTCGCTGTTGTCGAAGATGATCTCGACGTATGCGGACATGACGGCAGAGCCGGACCCCTCGTGGAGGAGGCCTTGGCGCTCCTCACGACTCATCTGGGTGTAGGCATCACTCAAGACGAAGCGAATCGCCGCAAAGAAGTTACTCTTGCCAGAGCCATTGCGACCGACAATGACGTTCGTCTTGGGCGAGAAAGGCTCAATGACGGTTTGGTCCTTGTAGCTGCAGCGCGGGTCAGAGGGAGAGCGTTTGGAGGGTACGGGGTGTTGGGCGGGACAAACCTCTTGAAGCCCTGAATGATAATTTGTTTAATATACATGATGGATTGCGCTGGCGCTTAGGCGCAATTTGGGGGGCTGCAGTGAGTCCGCCTCGATTTGGCTCGTGGGCGGCAAGAGGAAGTCGTGATGAAGTGATGCGCAACGACGCGTCTGGTGTCTGGTGGCCCGCGATACTTGCTAAGTGGTACAGGGTCGCGCGTTTCGGCGGCATCTGCCATCCGCTATTCAGCCGGCCATGGTGTGGGGCGTGCACCGTGCAGCGTCCGTTTGCTACGGTTTGTCATGCAATAAGCGGGACGACTCGGCTTGCTCGATATGTGAATAACTCGTCTATATGAATACGTGAACACTACCTGCCGACTGTCGGAACCGGCAGCCGTAACTACAGTACATACAGGAATGCATTCCGTACCATTCTTCCATTCATCTCAAGGTTCTTATTCAGTTCGGAAAACGTTCTGTTCATGGAAAAGGTGTGCGCATCTTGTACAATAGCTGATTTCAAGCCAGAGCGGACTACAACAACAGAGCGATGAGATCAACATTTGTCAAACAGCATCTAAAATCAGCATCCACAACAAACTCAGTATATTGTCGAGATTTTTTCATGTGAATGAATGTATTTGCAATTCGTGCCTTTGCCGAAAGCCTTGGCTGGCCAAACTGCATGGCTCCGCGAGTCTGCCTCCACAACGCAAACGTGCAGGGCAGGCCGTGGCTTCTCCGAGACATGGCTTCGAGCATGCCGCACATTGCTTCGCAGTGATGCAGTGCACCCTGCATCGCGACGATCTCTGTCAGTTCTGCTGCGTGGCTCACATGCCATGCTGTCATCCGTCTAGAGGTGAGCATGTGCAATTCGTCGGCGTCAGGTCATCCAGTGGGCGCGTGAAATACGTGGCGAACAATACCATTGATCCTTCGTCCAACAAAATTGAACAAGAGCAAAATATAACCAAGCTATGACCAACTTCTAGACTCAAGACAATGTTTTACACCAAACTTGATAAACTTGCCGATTGATTGTTGTCCGCCGCCCCAACTTTCCATATTCGTCGAGTCAATGCGGGTAGATAAACCGAGAATCTCACTCACAGTATAATTACTCGGTCACAGTATAATTACTCGTTGCAATGCTTTCACTTTTCACAAGTTCATATCGTGGAATGTCTAGCCATTGTCGTTTCTCGCATTATGACCAACACTGCCGATTCTGCCGCCGCTCTTGAAGCGGCTGAAGATACACCACTCCTCCATCATCAGCACCTCAACCGCTACGGATCAGCCAAGCATGGGCAAACAGCAGAGCACGCGCGGCTCTCCCAGCTCATTGTGCTGTGTTACGCACGACTAATGGAGCCCATCGCATTCTTCTGCATTTTCCCCTACATGGCAGAGATGGTGCAACGCAATGGCGACCTGGCAGACGCTGACATTGGCTTCTATAGCGGATTGCTAGAGTCGGCCTTTTCAATCACCCAAGTCATTTTCTTGATGGCATGGGGCAGTCTTGCCGACAGAATTGGTCGCAAACCGGTTCTCATAGCGAGCCTTGTAGGCATGGCTGTTGGCCAGGTTCTGTTCGGAATGTCTACTACACTGTGGCAAATGGCTCTCTTTCGAGGTCTGACCGGTGTCTTCTCCAGCGCTAATCTTGTCATTCGTACTATGGTTGGTGAAAACAGCACAGCGAAGACCCGGGCGCGAGCATACAGCTGGTACTCTACGAGTGGCAACATCGCCGTCTTTCTCGGCCCGCTTCTTGGTGGTTTGCTCGTTGACCCAGCAAAGCAGTACCCGGGCGTATTCTCGGGTATTCCATTCGTGGAGAAGTATCCCTACGCCTTATCTGGGCTACTCGTCGGCTCACTGGGAATAACTGCCGCCGTCGCATCTGCCATCTTCCTGCAAGAGACTTTGCACTCTGCTCTTTCTGATCAAGGCGAGGAAGAGAATTACTGCGAAGACAAGCCGACAACATTCCAGATTCTGACATGCGCAAACATCCCACGCGCCATGTTCATCTTTGGCCAAGTTATGCTTCTTGCATTCTCTTGCACTGCCATATTTCCTGTTGTCCTGTACACAAAGGTCAGCATTGGAGGATTTGGCTTCTCCACGGCCCAGTCCACCATGTACGTTGCGATGCAAGGACTCAGTGAGACAACATGGCTCTTGCTTGTGTTCCCTTTGCTTCACGCCCGAGTCGGCTCCATGGGAGTTGTTCGCCTGTGCTCTGTGGCCTTTCCTTGTGTGTTCGCTGCCCATATATTGATGAACGCGCTCCTCCGCGACGGAAGCGACGCGGCCTCTGCCCTGTCGTCTATTCTAGTCTGGGTTCTGAAGCTTTGTGTCCCAGGAGTGTGGATGGCGTTTACAGCAGTGCAGTTGCAACTCAACGAAGTGAGTCCTGGACCTTATGCCCTGGGCAAGATCAATTCCATTGCAGAGATGCTTGCTAGCTTGGTGAGATCTATAGTGCCGCCCATCATTAGCTCAATTTTTGCTATTGGAGTGAGGGACCAAATTTGTTCCGGGTATTTCGCCTGGATTGTTCTTACGGTACTTTCACTTCCCCTTCTAGGGATTGTTGCCTGTCGTCCATCATGATAGTCTGGAATCCGTCTTACCTTCCTTTACATCTACGGTCAAAGAAGGGTATGGATAGGTGAGCGACTATCATTACTTGGCGTCGGAAGGAGATCGTGTTGGCGAAAAAGGGTAGAATTCATACAAATTTATTGACGGCACTGCAATTATTTCGTTTCCATTTTCTTTTGTCGTAATTACTTAAAATAAAAGAAGAAAGATTGCCACTGGTAATGGTCCAGCACGAGGACCTATGTATGGAGGGGTAATTGTACACTTGGCACCATATTCGGAACCGGGAGCACGCCGTCAAACTAATTCCACCAGAAGCACGGAAGCGATCAGCTTTAGGATCAGATAAACCCTTGACTACTTGTTAAAAAGCCGAAAAGCGCCAGCGTCGTGCCACCAAAGCGGTTGAGTGGGTTTAGTTCAATCTGCGCCTTTGTCCGAAGCCGGGGGGCCGACGGCCGGTCCCGAGAAAAGCACCAAACCGTCAAAGCTTACCTACCCCCCTTCACCAGCGGTGCAACGCACCACAAACACCAACAAGCCTCCCCCTGTCATCAGCGTCCGTCAACAGTCCTCGTCGTCATGTTGCGCTGGGGCATTCTGGGCACCAGCTTCATCAGCGACGTAGTGGCGCGCGCCATCGTCGCCAGCGACGGCTCGCACATCCAGGCCGTGTTCGGGCGTGACTCGGCGCGCCTGTCAGCCTTTGCATCGCGGCACGGCATCACGACGCAGTACAGCTCTCTGGAGGCTCTTCTCGCAGACCCCGCCGTGGACGCCGTGTACGTCGGGCTTCCGAGCCACAAGCACGCGGCGGCGGTGCTCCTCGCAGTCGCGGCGGGCAAAAAAGCCATCCTGTCAGAAAAGTCGCTGGCGACGACCATGGCGGACGCGCACGCCATGACGGCCGCCGTGCGCGCCGCCGGCGACGTCTTCTTCCTCGAGGGCCTCATGTACCTCGCGCACCCGGTCATGGCGGCGCTCGTCGCCGTCGTGGCCGGGGGCCGCCTCGGGCGGCTCCGCGGATTCTCAGCCTACTACGCCGCCGACATCGCGGCCAAGGCGAACCCGCGCGGCCGCGGCACCATCTACAACCTCGGCTGCTACCCGGTGTCGCTGCTGCACCTGGTGCTCGAGACGGCCGCCGGCGGCGCGTGGCGGGGGGGGAAGCGCACCGTGCTCGGCCAGGGCACGCTCGCCACGAGCGACGACGGCGTCACGTACGCGCGCGACGCCGCCCTCACCGTGCGCTTCGAGGACGCCGGCGTGCTCGCCACCATCCAGTCGTCCGACTCGTTCGGCAACGACTTTGCCTGCACTATTCAGGGCGAGACGGCGTCGCTGACGTTTGTCACCAACCCGTGGCTGCCGCCGGCCGGGGACAGCGTCTTTCGCATCAAGACGTACAAGGGCGGCGCCGTGGAGACGGTCACGGTGCCGAGCGCCATGGACGCGTTTGGCCACCAGATTCAAAAGGTCCAAGACTACGTCGCGTCCGGCGTCAGGGAGCCCACCCGGCCCTCGCCGAGCTGGGCTGACTCGGTCGAGATTATGGAGTTGTTGACCGAGTGGGAAGCCGACATCTTTGCGCGCCATGGTAAAGAGATTCAAGTGTAGAAAAGGAATGTGACATGAAGAAATAAAGAAATGAAGAAATGAGCCAAGCAGAGAATCCAGAGCGGCCAGCCAGAGACATCGAAGCTCTACCAAACAGCCCTACTAGGCATTAGAGGTTAATTTCAAACTTTATTGACTTATATATACAGTGCAATGCTATAAATCGAAACAACGTTTACTCTGGGTCGCCAGTCGCCTCCCCCTCTGCATCCGCTGCCCTCTCAGCCACTGCCTTGGCTTCCAGCGCCTTGATCTGCTCTTGGCCCTCTTCCGTCGTTCCATCTATAATGTCTTCTTCCAAGCTCAGAATGTTGGCCTGTCATCACACAGAATTGTTAGCAAACATTCCCTATAAGTGTTCTCGTGCGTGCGAAGTCACATACCTCGCCAAATAGGTTGACGTATTCCTCCGCGTCCTCTACCGAGAGCTTGCCCAGCACCTCATTCACCTTGTCCAGCGAGCCCGTCTCGAGCGCCGCGCGCATCTCGTCGCTAAAGTGCTCGTAAATCTTCCGGGCCTCCTGCACTTCGGGGTCTTCACTGTCCTTTTCCGGCACGCTAATGGCGATGGCAGTGCCGGGCTCGACGGCGTGCAGCTGAATCAGCTCGACGCCGTCGACGGGTTCCGCGGCGCGCTCGGCAATAATCTCGCGCGCACGCGTGCGGATCCGCTGGTGCGTATCGTGCACGTCCTTGTAAAAGACCTCCTTGGCGTTGTTGCCACCGTCGGCCGTGATGCGCTTGAAGAAGAGCGCCACGCCATCGCGGCCCAGCGCGCGGCAGTACTGCAGCAGCAGCGCCTGGTGCACGCACTGTCGCGCGCGGTCGTCGGTGCGGCCCGTCTCGAGTGCCGCGTCAAAGGCCAGCACCAGCAGGCCGTCCGTGTCTCGCTGGGTCAGGATCTCCGGGTGCTTGGTGATGAAGTCGAGGCTGGCCGAGTAGTCGGTGGACTGGATGTCGGCAAACTTGCGCGCGGCGGGAGAGGCATCCATCTCGTCGTCATTGTCTGTGCTGACAGATGCGTCTTTGGCCGACGACGACTCGTTGGATGGTTTGTAGTTTGGGTTGAGCAGCTCGACCTTAGTGGCGTCACCGCCCGCTCCGGCCGTTTTGTTGACAAAAGAGCTGTCGAAGCCGGTATGAATGTCCTCGCTCGTAATCTTGTTTCCCTCCTCCTTTTCCAGCTTGGCCAGCTCGTCACCGCTCTCCTGGATGAGCGTCTGGACCTGTGTCGCGTGGACCTGAATCTCGTCCACCATCGCCTTGTAGCGGTCTACGGGCTGATTGGCCTCGAGGGTCTTGCTGACCTCGTCGAGCAGGCGCGTCATCATGGCCGAGTACGTAGTGGGCTGGTTGGGGTCGACGTGGAGGCCCTCGGGCACGGGCGGCAGGGCATTGTCCTCCGGCTTGCCCGCCGACTCCATGATGGCTTGAAAGGCCAGCTGGTTCGGGTTCTGCGCCGCGGCCACCTCGGACGTGGGTGACCGCAAAGAGTCCAGCAGCGCCTCGATGCGCTGGAGCAGCGCCTGATGCAGGGTGACCTCGTACTTGAGCGCCTCCATGCGGTGCTTGCGCTGCTGTCTTTCATGGTGTATCTGTGTCTGCTTCGCTCGGATAAAGGATTTCTTGTCGACGTTGGGGTGCACTTCAATGTCGGAGTCGTCGCTGAGCTCCAGGGCGTCCTGTTGGGAGTCATGCCTTGATTAGCAGAGGTGATGCGGGGGACCGAGACGCAGCCAATAGCTCTCGTCCAAACGTACCCATTTACTGTAGTCAACCGGCATGGTGGGTGGCTGTGATATCTGGTGACGTTTGCTGTTTAAACAAATACGGATGCGGGTATCTGATTGAGGCTTTGTTTGCCCCTCCACATTCATGAAGCTTCTAGGTAGCACGCGTGGTGGGGTAGTTTTGCGGCGACCCATGTCTGCTTTGTTGTGCTTCGGTTATGAATGGATGACAGGGCAACTGCAAATGCGCAAAGGAAACAGCTGTGGAAATACATAAAATTAGCCATTTCCATCGCCAACAGTCATCAACAGTCATCAACAGTCATCAAGTGGTGGTAGAAAAGAAAAGGCCTCATCAGAGCCTCGACAAAAATGGTATTTTCCACGCAGTCGCTAATGACGTACTGTACAAAAGTAAAGGAGACAATCCAAACGCCAGAAGCCACCCAGCTACCTATAATAAAAGCGAGTTCGATAATCGATAACCACCCAGCAAACCGATACAATTCAAGCAGAATAACGATATTCCTTCGTATCCAGACAATGAGCAAAATGTGCTTCAAAACAAATAGCAGTTACCCATGGTCATCATCATGACATTGACTTCATAAATCCGTCCAGGTCAAAGCTCTCCTCGTATTGCTTATCATCCCAGAGCTCCTCTAGGTCATCCAGCCAGGCCTTCTTGCCCGGCTGTCGCAGTACATCGCCTGTTTCGATATCCACCATATCTTCCTCTCTTCCTTCCAAATTATTCTGGGGCTTATCGGATAGCAGGCTTGGTCCCGAGTCACCCACGTTAAAGAGATCCAGGATCTGGTCCGTGTCCATCGTTCCTAGACCTGCGTTTTGCTGATTGACCACTGTTGACGCCACGTCAATCTTGAAACGCTGCAAGTTCAGGATCTTCTCTTCCAGCGTGCCTCTGGTGATGAGGCGGTAAACGTTGACGACCTTTTTCTGGCCGATTCTGTGCGCGCGATCCATGGCTTGCAGATCCTTTTGAGGGTTCCAGTCGTGCTCGACAAAAATGACCGTGTCGGCACCAGTCAGGTTGAGGCCGAGACCACCCACACTGGTCGTCAGAAGCAAGACATCGTATGAAGGATCACTGTTGAATTTGTTGACAATGTCCTGTCGCTTGTTGGCTTCGATAGACCCATCCAGGCGCAGATGCGATACAGTAGGTAGCATTTCCTTGAGCACCTTGTTCTGAACCATGTCAAGCATCTCCTTCATTTGGCAGAAAATGAGAGCGCGATGAGGCTTGATTGGCTGATACAGAGGATCATTGGTATCCCCATCATCGCCACCGATGCCGCAGTCGACTAGCAGGTCACGGAGTGCGCCAAGCTTGGGTGCATGCACAATGTCGTCAATCGCTGTGCCCTGCTTCGACAAAATCTTTTGCGTCTCGTCAAACATGGGAACTCCTGGTTTCATCACCATTGCAGGCGAATTGCAAAGCTTGCGCATGTATTGGAGTGCCTGGAAAATGTGCTGCTTCGATTCTTTATCCTCTCGTCCAGCCTCGGCTTGTAGCTGCTTGCCTTGTTTCTTGTGAAAGTCTTCGAATAATTTCCTCTGGAGATCACTAGGGTCACAGTAGTAGTTCTGCAAAATTTTGGGTGGCAGGTCGTTCAGGACCTCCTCCTTCAGACGACGCAGAAGGAAAGGGAGAACTTGCTTGTGCAAAGCCTCGATGGCAAGCGCGCCAGCTTCCTGCTCCTTCGACGACGCTTTGCTGTACCGACTAGCTGCGATGGGTTTGGCGAACCTATCCAGAAAGACTTTTTCGGTACCCAGGAAACCAGGCATTAAGAAGTCGAACAGCGACCAGAGTTCTAATACGTTGTTCTGGATCGGTGTCCCGGTGAGGATGAGACGGTGGTTGCTAGCAAGTCTCTTCACGGCTTGGCTAATCTTAGCCTTGGGGTTCTTGATCAAGTGACCTTCGTCAAGAACAACATAGTTCCAGCTGTGCTTCTCGAGCAACTCAGAATCGTTGCGACAGACATCGTAAGACGTGATGACAATATCCGTGTCTCCAAGCTTGTTTTTCAGCAGCTTGCGCTCAGCAGGAGGGCCAACATAGGCAGTGACACTGAGGAATGGCGCGTAAGTCCTTATCTCCTGCTGCCAATGGCCGGACAACGTAGGCGGGCAGACGATGAGAGACGGCATGGGGCGAACATCTGGAGCTTGGCTCTTAGCGAATTCTTCCTGGCGCTGGTGATGGTCACTGGCAACGATGCAAAGTGTCTGCAGTGTTTTACCCAGACCCATGTCGTCGCACAGAATGCCGTGAAGATGATATTTGTTGAGGAAGTGAAGCCAGTTGACACCATCTTGCTGGTAGGATCGAAGCTCAGCCTTAATAGCGACGGGAATAGCGAACGGTTCAACCTTCTTCGGATCCAACAGCTGACCGATAAAAGTGCGCTCACGATCACGCCCTTTGAGAAGCTCTTGAGAAAGCCCGGGCGGGTCAGGAATACCGGCCTCAAGCGGAACAAGCTTGACAAGCGTAGCAAAAGAAGTAGTTGCCAGCAGACGAATCTCATTATCCGAGTCACTCATCCGGCCAAGGACGGGCACGATGAGAAATATGACGTAGGGCAGGATAGAGTCGCCCATTACAGCAATGAGATGGTAAATGGCTTCGATAGCGCCTTGTCGAAAGTGAAGGTCAAGCGGGTTGCTTATGGAGGGGAGAACCTTCTCAACCAGCGCCGTCATGCCTTCGACAGTCATAACGCTGCAGATGGTGGCCAAGCACTTGGCCGCCATGTATCGGAAAACAGAAAGCTCGGAGTGTAGCGCTTTGATGACGAATGGCATCATCTCTATAACAAAGGTATGGAGGTCTTTGTGCAGTGTAGGTGTCATGGTGCGGATGACTGACAAGGCATCCACAATTTCCTGGCCGAAGGCATCTTCGGGGTCCTTTGCAGCCTCTGGGAGCTCACCAGAGAAGGCCTTCACAAGAGGCTGCTCCATGTAGTTTCGCAGACTGGGGACCGTCTCAAAAATAGCCGCACCGTAAATGCGGGCCAGAATTTCGAGGGCCTCCTTCGCACCTCGTCGTGTGACGCGAGCAGCCTTGACTTCTTTAGCCCATTTAGCAACGTCAGCATGGTCGACTCTATCTTCTTCCTTTTGCATTGACAGAATGAAGTCCTTCTTTTCTGCGTGAACGGGGAACTCAGGAGTCTCAGCCACTTCAACGCATGAGAATTTGACAAGATTTGCAACAACTTTGTCCGCAGGGCCCCGTCGACCCTTGTCAGCGAACAGTTGAACAAGTCTCGCGATGGTGTCCGCAGCGCGAGACTGTAGAATTTGGTTTTCTTCCGTCTTGACGGCATCCATAATGCCCTTGATGAGCGGACTAGGCTTCTTAGGGAGCACTTTCATCGCAACCAGGGCACATGCTGCTGCAGCCTTAATACGGACGTCACGACCATCCTTCAGGGTTGTGGCTTCTTGGACGGCGGTCTGCGCGACGTCTCGGGATTCTGCGAGCTGCTGGCTTGCAATGAGGCGCTGGCCAGGCGGCATGATCTTCTTGAGCTTGTCGAAATCATCGCCGACACATTTTTCCGCGATTAGCAGAGAGAAGGCGTTAGGCCCGGCTTCCGCTTCACCCTGTACAACGACGGGTAAAACTGGAAGCTTTCCGGGAGGCACTTTGCCATGATCTCGAAACATGTACAGAAGCTGCTGACACTGTGAGCGAACACGTTGCATGTAAATGACGAGATCACGGTAGAAGGCCGGCCGGTCATTGTCAACGATGCGCTGTAGATGGTCGGTATATCGGGTCTTGACGTCATTTTCAGTCTGCTTGCAGTACTCATCGATGACAATACAAGCAGTAACCTGACTTGACGCAAAAGCGGAAGAAAGACCAGGGATGAGAAGAGCGTCAAAGTCATCCAGCTTGGTAGATGGCACATGCGACATGATCAGGCCCATGGCCTTGGCCGCTGAAGTCCTCGAACGGATAAGTACATCCATGCCAACAAGATCAACATCGCCAGTCATCATGTGACCATCGACATCATGGCCAACATGAGCTGGTGCGGGTTCCTCGGTCTTGGCCGACTTTCGCCGGCGTTTAGGGGCACGATCGGTCACTTCAGGCGACGGCAGCCTGCCGGCTGCGTTCTGGGCAGTGGCAGGCATGGAATACGTACCGCCAGAAGGTTTTTGGAAGAGTGTGGCGTTCATAGGAATAGGGTATCGAGAGACACCAATCGGGTGCAAGGTCAGCTCCATAAGCGCATCGATATTGGGAGCGAACTCATCAGCCAGAGTGGCTGGCTTCGTTGCAAGGGTTTGTACTAGGGCAGTCCAGAGCTCCAATGACATATTGAGAGTCTCCTTGTCTCGCTCGACCAGGATGTTTTGGAAGACGAGTCGCAGAATCTTGCCGTTCAACCAGCCCTGTGAAGATTCGTCGGCGAGGTTGGCAAATGTCAGTAGAGCCTTGAGGACGGCAATGCGGACAGAGGTGATGGTATGGCGTAAGAATGGGTAAAGACGAGGGACAAGCAAGGTAAATGAGCGCTCCTCATCTTTTTCGGCAGAGGCTTTCATTGCTTCCAAGACTTCGGGGAATCCGCAGAGCGTTGCTAGAAGATCCATGATGCGTCCCGTGCTGGCACTAAGATCATCGCCTAAATTGGAGAGGCTTTCCCATACAATATTTGTGAGACCATCGAGCGCAGCAGGGCGCATCATGACGAATTCCTTTGCCATGGGTATTAGTGTCGCGGCACTTACGGCGCGGACATCGTCGTCCATGTCACCCAGTCCCTTCATGACGGCGGCAATCACGCCATCAATCATGTCGTTGTGCTGCAACAGCAAGTCTTTCCTTACTGCGACAACGTATCGAAGGCCCACCATGCCACCGTGGCAGACGGCCCACACGGGTCGCTCCATTTTGAGGTTCTCCTGCAGCACCATACGATGCAAGATACGGTACGTGTCGTAGACAGATGCGGCGGGAACATGCTTGAGCACAGATCCAAGGGTCTGACCAATAGTCTCTCTGATGGGGGCGACGGATGTGTCAGAGCTGTAGTCTGTAAAACGATCCAGCATCAGAACAAAGCAAAGGCGACAAGCCAAGTCGTCAAGCCATTTCTTGTTGTTCGCATCGTTTTCGGCTCGAGAACTGGCGGGGCCTCTGCCGGCGCCGCTGCCATGAACTCGGATAACCTCTCGCAGAGCCATTGCGGCTCCATGACGGGTCTCCCAAGAGGGATCAAAAATATCCACCTTGAGGAAATCGCATAGACGGTCGTAGGGCCACTCGGCACCGTGCATATCGTCCTCGGTCTCGATTTCGGATTTGATGGGCAACATCGGACCCTTGAATTCGCTGACGACCTTGGTGTCCTCATCGGTTTCGGCGGGGCGATCAAGGTTGAAGTATTCGTTCATCTTGCCATTCTTTTTCGCATCCGGATCGGTCATGGTTATATCCTCGGCCATGGCTTCGGAGCTGGCCGTGGTAGAGCGTCGCAGAGACAGGTCGCCGAAACCACTTTTTCCCTGGGATGCTTTTATTGCCTCCTTCTTTCGCTTCCGTTTGAGAACGTTGAGCTGTCTCGAGCTCAGTTGAGAGTCTTCGCCCGGTTGGCTGATGCTGTCGCTTCTGGGAAGGCCACCATTGCTGGGGCCTTCAATCGGTGTGGGGGGGACGCCGACGGGTTCGGGAGGAGCGATTTCTTCGTCATCGACTTTGCGATCGAGCAATCCAAGGCGACCAGGAAGAGTCTTTCTCTGATGCGCAAGACGATCGGCGGGATCTAGCGCGGCCAGGCTGTATTCGACGCCGCCGCGCAGCAGTTCGCGGCCGTACTTGAGAATGCATTCGACATTGACGGCATTGAGGCTGAACTGTTCGTCGGCTTTCAAGTCAATCTTGGCGATACCGGCGGTGTTATCGTCGTCTTGTTCCTTCTTCACATGGCCATTCTCGGTGGAAAAGGGCTCTTCCTTTTTGGGATCTTGTGCGACGTGGTCGCCATCGTCTTCATTAGGGTCGTAGAGAGGCGCATTGTCTACAATTTTTCCAATTGCCTTTGCGGCAGTAGATCTAGTTTCCCAGTCCTTGTGGCGCAGGTAGGGAACAACGCGGGAGAGCAGATTAAACAGTTCATCAGGGTGCTGTTTTTGCCAGTCGGCCAGCTGGTTGACGGCAGTATCGCGTATGAGCCTGGTACTGCCCGTCTCCAGGATGGTGACGAGGCGATCTAGTCTGGAGGCCATGGTCTATGTGTAAAGGCGGACGGTTGACAGCGATGGACGGAACTATGACATGGCGCAGCAGTGACTATGAGACAAAGAGGGGTCAGTGGGGTCGGCGAGGGTATTGGGCTGAAGAGCAGTAAACAAGAGGCGGCAACCGGCAAGTGTAACAGTATCGGGAGAAATAGTGGCACGATGCGGCAGCGCACAACTGGTGGCAGAACCAACACGACGGCTGTGAACTATGCGGTGGAGACAACAGCTGCGCATTCACATACAAGTGCGCGTTTGGGTATTGTATGGGGAATGATGGTGCTTACAGAGTGTTGTACAGAAATTTGGTTCAGGAGGTTGTTCCCGGACAAACCATGGAGGTTGTCGCACTGGGCGGCGAGGTTGGCGATGCTGATTAGATTGAGAATGATTTGCGCCGTATGCGCTCAGGTACCGGGAGGTTAGAAGAGGTGGAAAGTAAAGCGATAACGTAAGTAATTGGAGGTGGTGATGACGATGTGCCGGGATAACCGCGCTTGGTGCAAACAGAAATTGGCGATAAAGGTGTTGCGCGCGCGCGCCAATGAAGTGGTCAAGCAAGGTGCGTTTGCGGGTTGGTTGAGTGGGGAGCTCGCAACTGGCAGCTGGCAGCTGGCAACAATCAAAAGATGGACCAAAAAAAGTGTGGCAGCTGTAATCAGTGGCTGGTGGGTGTGATACAGTAACAGGTACGTAGGTAATGCGGCAGCGAGTCGACTAGCGCTGGATGGGATGGCAAACTAGTAACAAACTGGCTGTGGCTCTGGCCGTGTCTGGCTCGGGGGGACGAACAGGAGAAATCGGGTAGAGGGGCAGCCGTGAGCTCTATATGTGACAAGATGTACTTTTATACTTCTTGCCCACGCAGTGGCCAGCCCGTTTGCTTGTTTCGCCTACTGCTCTTTTTGGCGCTGTGCGAGTCCACTTTTCTTTTTTTTTCTTCCTCTAGGGCCATTTTTGGTTGCCCAAGTGCGCCCCCTTTGTCATGGGTCCCCTCTGTTCATCCCTTGATGCCCCAATTTCAGGCCCGCCCAGTAGTGAATGAGGTGGCTTTGACTGGCCAGTCAACGCTGCGTAATTTTGCTGGCCTATCGCCAGGTACAAGAATGTCTCGGCGACATCAATAGCCCCAACAAGTCACTCTGTTTATTTAGCCTTTTGTCGTCTCCAGATTCCACTTTATCAGTTAATATCTGTACGTATGTACGGGTTTATCGTGATTCACGCGCTCGCGCTCACACTCACAGCAGTAATTCAACCAAGGCAGATCTTGTATTAACTAATACTGTATTAACTAATACTGCTTCCTGAACTCGTCCATTCCTGTATACCTAGGTACCAAGGTATTTACTGCCTTGTAATATGCATAACTGCACCTGTGCCGGTGCCACCCACCCCAGCCACAGCGACAACCGAAGGCCCTTCCCCAGGCAACCAGGCAACGATGCTTCACTACTAGATAATACTACCTCCCAGGTAGCAACGGTGGACGGTATTGGCTCTTGTTCCATGACAGCATGCGTTCGCCGCATAACAGTACACCAGTTTTATACTTGACATCATTGACTACCTTACCGCCAAACCTCCATCCTCTAAGCTGAGCGGCGTATTCCTGCTCACCACAAAGAAAGTCTTGAGAGAGAAAAGAAAGCGCCATCCGTTCCCTTCGGGACCTTGCCCCTGCGGCCCGTCGTGTCGCATCTAGGGTCATGGCCCGCGCTGGCGCCCGATCCTCATCTGGGACAACCGCAAACTTTGTCCCGGACCTCGAGCTTCTCCGTGCTCCTCGTCCCCTGATGTTGACAGTGTGCCGCTCGGAATCACTGCATCGACCACACTGCACGATAATGCGAACGCGCTATGAGGTGGCCGTGGCTGTTGCACATCAGCCTCATCACCATACCACCCCGTCGTCACGCGGCGAGCAGGGACTGTGAAGGACCGCCACGTCTCTTTATTTCGTCACTTTATTTCGTCATTGCCCCATGCAATTACAGGACCATGCTAACTACTAATTAGTTAACAGCTGGGCGGTTTCCCGCAGCTATCCCACCGCTACGGCGGACACACGAGGCACCGCATCGACTTTGCCGTACCCTTCTTTGTCTGCTCAAAGAAAATGTTTATGTAGCGTGGCTCACCCCGGACGGACAAACTTTGATTAGTTAGATGCAGATTGGCGGCCAATCAACCGACCGGCACCGCTCGCACGTCAACAATTGTGTCCATACGAGGCCAGGAGAATCGACGCGATCGAGAACTAAGCCTCAGTTCAAGGCTAAAGTCCAAGTTATTGGTACACAAGTACACTGCAGCCCTGATCGTCAAGCTCGGAAGCTCTCTGCCAAATATCTCTCGGCGCTAAATTAATAATTTATTAATTAGGAAGCTCCCCGAGATGCCAGCCCTCAATCAAATCGATGACAGTGGTGAACTAATCCTCAGGCACCAACTTTCTTGTTTCTTGTACGCCCCATGCACCACCTTCCTTTTCTTTTTCAAACGTCACGCAAGACAAGGTTGGCGCAGTCAACAGTCGAGCCACACATGTCAACTTTCCCGTATTACTTTGTATTCCTGTTCATTTCTGCCGTACCTTGCATGTGTGCCAAAATATGACCAAGCACAACAGCTTCCGAGGTGACACGGCCAACATGACATCCGCAAAAACATCACTCTGCGACGGGCAGCGCATACAACAAGCCCCTCCCTCACATCCAGCTCTTCCTTGGACAACTTGTTACCCAAATGCTTCACAGACGCCTCAATGCGCTCGCCTTACGCAACACTACCACAGGCTCGTCCTCGCCGCGTACAATATGTGACGCGGTCATTAATTAGCGACAACGTTCCCGACGCGTGGCCGCGATGCGCTGAATGAAGAGGCTTTGCCACCACCAGGCGCGTACATGGGCACGCGTCCAGCGTGTAGAAGTTGAGCACACCAAAGCCTGAGGTTAGGTACTCGCCGTCGGCAAAGGCGTACATTTCTCTTCACGCGGCGTCCTGCGCATTCGACACCCAATGGTCCTGGCCCGAAGCCTAGGCTGCGAATCACGTAAAGGAAGAATACCTTGACATCAAAGCTATAGCCACCACGGTTCCTGTCCACAACATTGTCAAAGAGCGCGCCCACCTCCTGCAAGCCGAAATTGTCCCTCATGTGGTGGGCACTTGACCATCTGGTCAAGGAAGCTGCGCACGCCCCAGCCGAACAGCGTCTTTCAGTTCGTAAGCGGAATGAAAGAAAAGTAGGGCCCCAGCTGCTCTGCTGTGTAGGCCATCATGATTTCCATAGAGGCGGCGAACTTGTAATTGTACTAACGCGTCTGGCAGTTGTTGATTTTTCTTGTCAAGTCTGGTCACGGGCTATCCGTTGTTCAAAGTCGGCGGTGGCACAAGCCATCGCAGTCCGTACTAGATGATGACGGCCGCCTGGTTATTGTTTTTGTTGTTTATTCCGCAGCCCCACGAGCATGAGCGGCCTACAAAGTATAGCGGAAAGCATTCACGGAAACGGCTCGTGGTTTTTTTTCCCTAACCAGAGAAAGTGGCCGTCTCCGTTGGCGCCCCCTTAAGCCCTGACGCCTCCCGAGCAAGCCTTCCGACTCTTCCGCATCGCTGCCCCTTGGCCGGCTGACAAGCTCAGCCCGTTCAATACAAGTTTGAAATATCCGAGAGATCCGGTGCCAGCGTCAAGGCCGGACCAACACAAGAAAGAAACACGGGAAGCAAGAGACCGCAGTATGGCCGACGCAACCAGAGACAGGCCTGAATAGAGAATCAACGCCCATACGGTGTCTTTTAGTCAACTCTTGAATCCATCTTATTTGAGGCGAAAGGCTCGAGGAACAGGAGGGAGTTGGTGTTGCCCCCGATACCCGCCATGCCTGGAAACCCGCCATCGAGAGGGGTGCCGTACCTCGACAGGATGCCGACGCCTGGCCCCGTTGATCATCTGCACTCGCTGGCAAGGCGGTCGTGGTCTTGGGCGCTGAAGCTGTCCGGGCGACCTTTGGTCCAGCCCTGCGCAAAGAAGCTTTCAGGGGAGCATGTCAGCGACTATTCTAATGTGCGCGACGCCAAGGGCCACGAGAGGAACTTGGGGAGACGAGAGAGACGAGAGCCGGGAGGAGCGACCAGAAAGATGGCCTTTTCATGTACTACGCCAGGCTGTCCACGACTGTCACCCTTGGCGGCGATGGTATAATATCGTTCGTTGGTGAAGATGGTTGCATCATGATATCGTGGCTGGCGGGATGGGAGCATGCTGGGCCTTTGAAATTGCGCTTGTGAAATGTGTGCGAAATTTGACATGGGCAATGGGATTGTCGGGGGAGCCTCGCGTTGATAGCCATGGCAGAGATGGCTCTTTGCACCACACCGCCACGATACACGTCCCAACACGCGACAGCAGATGCAGCCACCTGAGGGGACATGTACATGTGTAGAGGAGTAGGTGCCACGCCTAAGGACCCGCATTCCCGAACCAACAGCGGCAGAGGCTGTCAAAGCATCAGGATTGGATCACGAGGGTCTGCCCGATTTATCCGTCTCAGCGATGCGGAAGCGGGCGTTCAATTATCGATATGTCCCCTGGGAGTACAGAGGACCTCTATTCTCCGACGAAGAAAAAAGAAGAAAAAAAGTGTCCAGGGTCGGTGGTTGGAGGGCTATTGCGGGGTTGGCTGTGCGCATGAAGGAATGAATACACGCGTCAAATGCAAAACGCTCAGCCTCGCATTCGATACTGTGTGAAGCGGCCCCCATCTTCCATCTTCGGAGCCAAGACCCAGGGCGATTATCGTCTGCATTGCCTATTGCATCGTGCAATCTGGGGCATACATATGTACGAATACTGCTAGTTAGTACGGATACCGGACCCCTTTCTGCCCCTCTGACCCTCTGACCCCTCTGACCTGACGCGCGTTTATATGGGAAGAGGATGGGGCGCTGGCAAGCCGGTCTCAGCAGTGTCCGAGAAACCCCACGAGGAAGGCTGTGCAGGGAACGCCGTTGATTGATGCGACGCCGTTTTGCCGATATACGGGCTATTTTTAGCGGGTGTCCAGCCTGAATAGCGTTTTTTTTCCGCCCATTGCCACGCAATTCAACGGCTTATAGGTACCTAACTAGGTACCTAGGCCTGCACGCTGCCTTCCTACAAAGGACGACAGGCTTGCATTTCGTCCATTCTCTCTTTTCCTCTTGTCTCTTATTACTGTTATAACCCGCTCGTCTCTTGTGACTTTGCTTTTTTCTTTTCGTCCAATCTCTCTTTCTTTTCTTCTGTCCAGTCGTTCCCCCACTGTCCAAGGCGCCCCGCCCTTCCATTCTAACTACCTCTGTTGTAACTACGGATATACCGTTGGAGACAATCGTCGACAGGATTCCCGTCTCTTGTCGTTCAACTTGAAGAAAGAAAAAAATGCCCTCGTTACTTCGCACAGCATTGCTCGGCATCATGGCCGCTGCAGCTGCTGTCGGTGCAGCTAGCAGCACCACCGCCGCCGTCCCCTCACCCAGCACCAGCACCAGCTCCAGCTCCAAGGCATGCAACAACTCACCAACGCTCTGCGGCCGCCGGTACAACAACATTACGCACATGGGCGCCCACGACAGCTCCTTTCTGCGCGATGCGAGCACCGGCAACTCGGTCTCGGGCAACCAGTTCAAAAACGCGACGGTTGCCCTCGACGCCGGCGTGCGCCTCCTCCAGGCCCAGGTCCACGACAAGAACGGCACCCTGCACCTCTGCCACTCGGACTGCGCCCTGCTCGACGCCGGGCCCCTGACCGACTGGCTCGCCCTCATCGCCGCCTGGATCAAGGCCAACGCCAACGACGTCGTCACCATTCTGCTCGTCAATGCCGACAGGGCGACGGCCGCCACGCTCGGCGCCGACTTTGCGGCGGCCGGCCTCGACAAGCTGGCCTACACGCCGCCCGCGACCTCGGCCACGGCCAACTGGCCCACGCTACAGTCCATGATCAGCAACAACACGCGCCTCGTCGCCTTTGCCACCGACTTTGACTACTCCGCCTCGGTCCCGTACCTGCTGCCCGAGTTTGACTTTATGTTTGAGACGCCGTACGAGGTGACCGAGGGCACCGGCTTCAACTGCACCCTCGACCGTCCCAGCACCGCCACGCTCAACAAGTCGCCCACGACGGCCATCTCCCTCCACTACCTCAGCCTCGTCAACCACTTCCAGTATCAGCGCCTGCTCGGCACCATCCTCATCCCCGACGTCGACTCCATCAATGTCACCAACAGCCCCAACACGGCCGCCGCCGGCAACTTTGGCCGCCACGTCCAGCAGTGCAACTCGGAATGGGGCGCCCGTCCCAACTTTGTCCTCGTCGACTTCTGGAACGTCGAGGACCCCATTACCGCCGTCGACCGCGTCAATGGTCTCAGCGACATTACCGGCCGAGCGTCGGTGAGTGCCCAGATCGGCACCACCTCCTCGAGTGTTCCCTTGAGCTACCACGGCATCAGCGGTGGTCTTTTGGTCTCTTTGGCCTCTGCCATGGTCCTATTGGCCTAAGAATTCCTATAGACGGATAGCATGAGACATGTAGGATGTCGTTTTTTTTTTCGGAGCATTTAGCATGGCGTAGGGGATCATGACTTGGGCGTTTTTCATGGTTTCGTTTTTTTGCGGGTACATTGGAATACAATAGAGCACAATCGATGCAAACAAATAGGTCATCATCGTAAAAAAATCTATATCAATTTTTGCCATCTTTCGTTGTACAATGCCGCGAAAGCTTTGTTCATCCAAGTGGGGATCCCGTTGTCGTGACTAACTAATAAAACTAATGATACTTTTGTATCAGGTAACTAACTAGATCGCCACCCATCAGAAGAAGCACGAGACAAAAGTATCCCGCCTTCAACCACGTACTGCCAAACAATCATATATTCTCTCGTCTCCTCACACAATGATGGACTACGCATCGATTGAGACGCCAGCGGCCTGCTACGCCGACTTTTGTCTGATTCCCGTACGTTTTTTTGCGCCCTTTGTTTTCACTGATAACTACCTTGTCCCCCATGTCCGCCAAAACAAAGGTTACAAATAAATCTGTGCCGCTAACAGTCATTCTTTGTCGCTGAACAGGTCGGCACGGGAAAAATCTCCGTCGCTGAAGAGGTTGCCGACGTGCAGCGCGTCCTCAAGGCCAGCGGGCTCAAGTACACGATGCACTCGGCCGGTACCACTGTCGGTATGTCCTGCGCTATGAAAGTTTTGCATTTCTTTGTTCTTCAATCCTCCTTTCGTTTTACTTTTCATCAAAAAGGGAGCATGGGTTTTTTCTTGTTTGGAACAAACAGGACAAGGAGTAAACACACTAAACACGGAAAAACAGAAGGGGCATGGGACCAAGTCATGGCCGTCATCGGCAAGGCCCATACCGTTGTTCATCGTCGCGGCGTTTTGCGTGTACAATCGTCCATGCGCGTGGGATCGAGGTAATGCCCCCCTCCCTCCCCTGCGTCTTTGACACTTGCATCTGTTTCGGGCTTTGATTCGTTTGCTGACCGGTAGCCAACAGGACGGATAAGAAGCAAACGGCAGAGGACAAGGTGAAGCGCGTCAACGATATCCTGGCTACTGATGTTTAGGCAGTCGTCACAGCTAGCTACATGTAGATAATATAGAGCACTTGGGAATTTCACGGGAAATGCACAAAAGGCATATTTACTTGGTTCTGTTGCATTTAGTACACAGTTTGATACACGATACACCACTCCAGCCCAAATACATGAACTTTTGTTACCCCAAACCCAGCACAAACACACTCAGTTTCGGCCGACCGTCCCATGGAAGCCCATTGTCCGCCTCACAACACGACCCAGTGTCCTTTGCCAATCAAATGAATCCCCCCTTCATCGCATGGTCATCTTCTTCTGGGCCTTGCGCTGTTCCTTGGCCTGCTCCTTTTCGAGGTACTTCTTCTGCGCCTTGGCGTCGAGGCCCTTGAGCTCGGCGTCACGCTTGGCCTTTTTGGCCTTGTCCTTGTCGGCAGCGCGCTCCTCGGCACGCTCCTCCTCGGCCGCCTTTTTGATCTGGTTAATCTTTTGCTCGCGGACGCTGCGAATCTTCTTGAGCACCTCGGGGCGGAAGTGGGCCTGGGCCACGAGCAGGTCGGGCAAGCGGAGCAGGTACTCAAAGAGCGGCACGTAGGCGTCGTAGTTGTTGTCGGCGGGCAGGCTGTACTTGAGATGCAGGCGCTTGCGGGGCGTGGTCTCGTCGAGCGTCGTCGGGCTGTCGGTCGGCTGGTCCGAGATGACGAGGTACTGGAAGTTGTCGCCGAGCGCGACAATGGCGGCGATGAGGTCGGGCGTCAGGAACGTGTCGGTGACCTCGGCGCTCTCGCTCATGACCGTCAGCCACTCGGGCAGCTTGGAGTTGTCCTTGGTGGCCGTCAGGGAGATGTCGTAGCGCTGGTCGCGGAGACGCTGCATGCGCGTCTTGTTGACCACGGCCCAGACGAAGCCGTCAAACTGGCTCTTGCCGTCGGCCTGGGGCTCGGCCTCGTCGGGGCCGCGGCGCCGGGGCACCGTCAGGGCCTCCTTGCCGTCAAAGGGGTAGATGAGCACCTCGACGAGGTCCTCGGGCGCGGGGCCCAAGGACTCGACGAGGAAGCTGCCGACGGCCTCAAAGAGGTAGACGAGGGGGTTGAACTTTTTGGTCAGGGTAATCTTGACGTCCAAAAAGGCCACGTTTCGGCGGCCGGTCGCGTAGCTGGCAAACTCAAAGAGCGACTTCTCCTTGAGAAAGGTGTCGGGGTTGACGACGACGTCGGCGGTCGGCGCGCGGCCGAAGCCGACGAGGGCAAACTCGTGTTGCAGGGCGGCGGCGTGGGCGCGTATCCACTTCCTGGCCTTGGTCCGGTTGGACCCGGCGCCGAAGAAGTGGAAGATGAAGATGAAGGCCGTCACGAGGAGGATGACGCCCTCCACCTTGAACTCGGACAGCGAGTGGCGCTCATGGACGTTGTACCACTTGGTATAGGGTCGGCCGGTCGCGAGGGGCGTCGCGCCACCGAGGGTGGCAGCGGCAGCCGGCGCTGGGTCGGGAGCAGAGGCGAAGTCGGCAAAGTCTGAATAGTCTCTTGCGTTAGACTGTGCGTTTTTGATGCGGGCTCGATTGGGGAACGAGTGCGCGTGGTAGCCTGTTGGGCTAGGAGAGGGTTTGCGGAGTTTGCATCGAGTCCGCCCTGACAGGCAATTGCCATGCCAATGTTGAAGAGGTGGTTTACTTACCGGCATCGCCCTTGGTCCCGGCCGCGGCTTGTTTCAGACCGAGAATGTTCTTCAAAATATCCGCCATGGCTGCTGTGATGGATGTCGGGGGGATGAAGACCGGTTGAGCTGAGAAGTTTAGGGCCAAAGCTGTCCACTGGGCGGCGCCGCCAAATTAGGCATGGCGTGCAAGCTTGCCCCAAGACCTTCCCAGCTCCACACATTCCCCAGCTCGTTACAGGTCCAGGTATGATAAAGTGAAGGCAGTAAAGGCTAATGAATTAATTACTTTTGTAATGGAATGTGCTGAATGAATGGTAAACATATAACACATGACCATCTAACGCCGCGTTGTGGCAACGACCACTGAAACAATTTTCCCAAGAACCCACCAATATGCTATGCTTAAGATCACGAGCTAAAGAATGCAAGACGAATGGTACCGTAAAGTGCAAAGGACCAAAAGAACGAGTAAAAAAGCAAAGAGTGCAAAGAGCGCAAACAGACTTTCAGCATAGCTTGCAGCCTTTTAGAAGCTGAAAAGACCACTCCGACGCTTACCGAGAGGGTAGATCAAGAGCGCACTGAGAAACAGGCCAACCGCAATGCCAATAGCAATCTGAATCATAGAGGCAGCCACATCAAACACAACCGTGCTCATGGCATGGGTCGAATCTCCTGGTGTCTCGGTAGAGCTGGAGTTGGTGAGCATGTTGGCCGTTCTCAGGCCGCTCAGCAGGCCGCCCGTCGCCGCCAATCCTCCCGGGACCTGAACGAAGATGGCCGGGATGAGTGTGGCTGCGGCGACGCCGTGCCGGATGCGCGAGTAGAGGTTGGCAAGTACGCCGACGCAGAGAGCGCCGAGCGTGTTTGCAATCTGCGGGCTTGCAACGAAGCGCACGCTGCTAAAGTAGTTGACAATGTAGCCGGAAAAGGCAATGATGACCATGACGGGCATCTGACGCCATTTGGCCTGGTAGAGCACGCTGATGCAGATGATGAACAGGGGCACAAACGTGAAGGCGACGTAGGGGCTCATGGGATCTGTGCACTGTATCTCCGAGGTGGCATTCCTGTCAAAGATGCCCCAGAGCGAAGCACCCACGGTGATGCCAAACCCGAGGAGCAGAGAGTAGATGATGGCGTAGACAATGCGGATGGATCCCGGCACTATGGCACGGGCCTGCAATTCGAGCGCAGAGCACACTACCGACGGTTAGAATCACAGTCAGAGTAGTAGTGGAAGAGACGACTTACAAACGGAGTAGCCGGGCAGCAACATGACAATGCCGCCCTGTGTAATGGCAGAGAAACAAAAGAGATTGCTGTTGGAGATGCTACCAAAGGCACGGCCCATGAAGCTGACCAGGACCGTTGCGCTGACTTCAAAGACGTTGCTGTACATGTTGGACTTGGGGGCCACAATCAGCTGCAGCGCTCCGACCAGACAGCCAAAGCAAAAGGCGAGGGGCAGGTCGATGAAGCGCGCCTTGAAGGAGAACGGCGCGGCGGTGGCGCTCGTCAGGCCAAAGATGAGCACGCGCGTCCAGGGGTGAAACTTTTCGCGGGCGGCAATAATGGCCTCGATGCGCTCCGTGCCCTCCTCGACGCCAATGACGTCGTGCATGACCTCCTTGTACACCTGGTGGACGTCCTTGAGCTTGCCGAGGTCGATGCCCTGGACGGTGCGGACGATGCGCACCTCGGTCGTGTGCGTCGACGTGTCGTCAAAGGACACGACCATGCAGCCCGGCAGGTACAGGAACTGGCCCTCAATCTCGAGCACGCGCGCCGACATGCTCAGGTACTCCTCGAGGCGGTGCGTCGGGGCGCCGTACAGCATGAGCGCGCGGCACAGCTTGATGATGTAGCCCTGCCGCGCGAGGATGCCGGCAATGTGCACCGCGATGCGCGCCTCCTCCTTTTGGTGGTGGTGGTGCTGGAAGAGCGACGTGCTGCTGGGCCCCCCGCGCTTGGCCTTGGGCCGCTTCTTCTTGGGCGACGCCGCCGAGCTCGACCCCGCGCCGCCGCCGTCGCCGCCGCCGTGGTGGCCGAGGTTCGGGTTGGCGAGCCGCGCCGAGGCCTCGATCAGATTGGCGAGCGTGTCCTGCGACCGGTTCTGCTCGTACCACTTGCGCCGGCTCGGCGTCGTGTGACCCGACTCGGAGCCCGACGTGTGGCCGGCCGACGAGGCCGAAATGTTGCGCTGATGCTGCGTGCCGGGGCGGCGCGTGTGGCCGCCCGCCTCGGAGGGCTTGTAGAGCTTGAGCAGCTGCGAGAGCACGCCGCCGCGGTAGTGCTTGGGCGTGGGCACCGACACCACGCCGTCGTACCCGCCAGCATTCCAATCGTGCACCTCGATGGTGTGGCTGGCCGTCGCTGCCGCCGCCGCTGCTGCCTGCTCCTCGGGGTCGACCACGGTGATGTCGTCGGGGGTTTTTTCCTGCCTGCGCATGGTGTGGGAGCGGACGAGGTCGTATGCTTCGTCGTTTTGCGTCTGGGGGTGCGGCTCGTCGAGTTGTTGTAGGAGGCGCCAGTGGTCCTCGCCCGACTCGGAGCGCGCGTGGCCGCCCATGTTTTGCAGAGGAATGCTGCCATCGCCAAAGGGGAGTGGCTCTGAGTCACCGTCGACGCTGGCCGGGCGAGACTCGAACGAGTTGCGCGAGGGCGTGGGCGACCCCCGCTGCAGCTTGTCCGCCACCTGTTTGGCCCGCTCCTGGGCGGCGGCCGCTGATATTTGCTTCTCGGACGAGTCCTCTATCAGGTCGTTGATGGCTTCCTGGTGGCTGGCCGCTGCCGCCGCCGCCGCCGCCGATGTGGCTGCGGCGGCCTCCCTCGCAAAGTAGTCGGTCGTCGGGATGGAGCCCGAGGAGTGGTTGCGCAGGGCCGATGGACGCGGGGGCACCGGGGCGCTGCGTCTCTCGGGTCCCGTCTGCGGCACGCTGGGCGTTATGGACGGTCGCAGGTGGGCGCCGGCAGTGCTGTTGAAGCGCACGCGGCCCTTTTCCTTCTTCACAGCGGCGGCGACAGCGGCATCTGGCGAGGCGGCCGATGGAGGGGTGGACGGAATGTCGGCACCAGCGGGGGTTGTCGTCGGTCTGGGCCAGTCTTGGACATTCTGAGACGTTGTTGTTGTCTCTGGCGGTACGGTTGTTTCAGGGGGCCAATGGCCGTAAACTTGTTGGTGGTGAGAAAAATCTTCGTACTTGGGCCGGCTGTCAGAACCTGGGTCCGGGTCCTCCGGTGTACTTGAGTCTTCCATGGCAGCAAACGACAGCAACCGGGGTGCGACAGCAGAGACACCAACCAACAGCAAAGAGGTTGAGAAGTAAATTCGGAGGAAAAAAAATACAAAAAAATACTGTGCAGTAGTGATACCAACGAAAAACTTGCAAAGGGTGCTGCCAGCACCTTTTTACTAAATACTCACTCGGCCCCTCCACCTTTCGCATCCAAAGCCGAGCGCGGACATGGCAAAGGCAAGGCCTTCTATAAAATCCACAAATTTAGTCCACGATTCGTAGCGGGTGGAGCTTGCAGGCCACGATGCCCATCAAAGGCTTCACGGCTTCCACAGCACTATTCCACAGGAGCTGGGGCAATCCCGTCGGGTGCCCGAGAGAGTTTGCCCCGGTCGGCCAGCCCGTCGCGGAACAAGAGTGGTGGTGGACACGAACGAGGCGCATCTCAAGGACGAGGCGGGTTCTCGTGTAAACGGGAGCGAGCGCTAGAAAGACTTTTCAGCGCTTCAGGTGACTGGTACGGTGCCAGGATCTCCAATCGTGGACCAAGCTCCAGCAAGGTCCCTGAAAGTCGAGACCGTTACGTGGAGACTCAATGGGCGAGTCAGAGAGAACAACGAGGTAACGAACTTACCTAACCAACTAAATAATAATAACCAACTAACTAATAATAGTGCATTGCTCTTTGGCTTGTTCTGCTACGACACCACGCAAGCACGCTGACGTCAAGTGGATATAGTAATTCTTGGAACAAAAACATTCGTGCAGCATCGTCGTCAGCCTGCCTGCCTTTCTTTGCTTTGGTTGGTCTGTCAATGCTGCCGCGATGGATGGTTTGGAACGTGGCCGCCACTCATCATATGTCATATGTCATGACAGCATGTTGGTGCCGGCCGGTTGCCTTCATTCCCTGCCCTGCCAAGTCCGGCCCCTTGACGTGAGCTCCCGGTAAATACAATGCCGAGCGTAACAGCACGTCCACACATAATCTAACGAATAAATGCAACGCGGGGCGCGCAGGGCCTTTCCGATCACGTTAACGGACCATCCGGAAAGCCAGTCAGGTTGACCAGTTGTTAGCTCAGTAATAATGGCTAGTGGCCCTGTGGCGTCCAACATCGGAACCAGTCATGATCAGCACTTTTCGACTTGTTGGTATCCGTACATCCATATGTAGGCCAACATCTGTCGTCAGCCAACAGCTTTCATTCACCGACTGGGGTATATCCACCGCAATGGAATCATATATGTTTTAGATTCCATCACATCTTGACTAACTAACTATAACCCAACCATTCGACTGCTCCTCCCTTTTTTGTCCTGGCATGTTTGCTGCTCCCATGTCGTGTCGGCCTGCATTTCATACCCATACCCTGTACGGATCCAGGAGAATAACGAAATCGTCATGTGGACCACCTGAGAAATCTTCAAGGGTGTCGGATAATTGAAGAAGCAAGGGGTACTTGATCCTGGAAGTTATCACCCCATTGATGCCCAAGATCATTTTATATTCGCCTAGTCATGTTGAAGCGAGTGTAAGAGCTGTCGCTAGGACCTTCATCAGGAGATGTAGTTCCCACTGCAAATTCTCATGTGATCCATCTGGAAAAAGGAAAAAAAGAAGAAAAACACACCGACAAGCATCCACAACTTTGAACATTTTTTTCGGAAGACGAGATTCTGTCGTGGATTCAATCACAAGTGCGTCGCGCCTGACGCGCTGTAAGGATGGTTGCCCTGCCAACACGCACAACGTCGACATGGCTTCACAACGTCGAGTATTGAAGTGACCCAAATGGCTGCATTGGCTAAACGCACAACAACAGCAAAATGCCACGAAAAGCCACGTATGGAAAGCAATCAAAGACCTCAAAAGCCGAGAGGCTCTTTGCTGAGCTGCCGCAGAGTCCGATGCGCAAGCCAGGCACCAGAGAAGCACCCGCCAAACCAAACGAGTCTGAGCCTGTGACAGTGGCCGACTTGACTGCGCAGCTCTCCGAGGTCCGCATTCAAGAAGAAGAGAGCAAGGTTGAGAAACTACCAAAATCCAGCAGCAAATCATGCAGGAAAGCCAAACAAGAAGCGCCACCAGTGGTTCATGAGCGCGAAATCACAATAGCGTCATCTAGCGACACCGAGGACAACTTTGCATCGGATGATGAGGGAAAACACGAAGAGGACAGCTCCGCTGAAACAACTCTCCGGATTCTGTCATGGGAGGATGTATGCCCCCACGGTGACCGCATAGAAAAGATCGCCGAGGCGTCCTACGCCGAGGTCTACCGTGTCACCAACGACCGCGGCACCAGCATCATCAAAGTCATCCGCCTGCACTCCCCTATCAAGGCCAAGACAAAAGCGCAGGAGCGTTCCAAGCTCGTCGACGAGGAGCCGCACGCCGAAGAGGACATCAACGGCGAGCTGCAAATCTCCGAGTGGCTCGCCGACATTCCCGGGTTCGTCGTCTACAAGGAGCGCTACGTCGTGCAAGGCAAGGCGACCAGGCAGCTTTTGGAGACGCATCAGGTCTTTCAGCGACGCATGAAGAGACAGGACCCAGGCCGTGCGCAATTCTACCCCTCTCCGAGCCGGTATCTGGAGGATACGCGCTTTCTCGTCGTGGAGCTTGGTGATGCGGGCATTGCGCTCGAAGACTGGAAGCTGACGACGGAGAGCCAGCTATGGGACATTTTCTTTCTTGTGGCGGTGGCACTCGGACGAGCTGAGGATTTGGCCATGTTTGAGGTGTGTAATGCGATCAACGACTGCACCTTTGCGGCAGTAAAGAAGCGCTAACGACGATCAAACAGCATCGAGATCTCCACGAGAGCAATTTGTGTATCCGGCAAGTTCACGAGCCACGAGCACGGCCAACTGATGCACAAGGCCAATTTTATGGCTACTCGGGCCTGGATATTACAATTCTGGACTATGGTCTGTCAAGAGCAGAGGATCTATCTATTGACTATGCCGCCCCAGTAGCACATGATCTGGAAAGAGACCTCAGTTTCTTCACAAGCACACATGCGCCACAGTGCAACGTGTACAGGCAGATGAGGTCATTCCTGCTGCGTGCAGATCGCGTGTGCCTGCCTCCCGCTGCGCACGCTACACCGTATGCGAAAGGAATCGACGGACCTCTGTCATGGGACGTCTTTGCGCCCTACACCAATGTGTTGTGGCTGGCATACTTGTACTCGTACCTCGTCAAGAACTTCAAAGGCGACAAGAAGGCGCTGCAACGTTTCCGTTGCACAACACAAGAAATGTGGAAATATCTAAATCCTGATGCCGGCGATGACGTCCCGTGCTTTAATTGCGCTGCAGACGTGGTCTGCTTTGGTGTCGAGGCTGGCTGGATGGCCGAGTCGCAGCTGGCCGGATCTACGCATTCCATGATTGAGCGGGAAGAAAGCATCATCATGGCCCGCGAGGACGATGAAGATGAAGCAGCGTCACTGAGGCGGTCGCCAAGGAGAAGCCAGTATCAACAAAGCACCATTGTGTAACGATATAACGGTGCTGGCTTGATAGATGTACATTTTTAGCATGGTGGAGTTTTGATTGGGAGGTTATTTAGAAGACGAGGGATCAGACATAGTTTATTTATCAATGGTGGATCAATGTATTTTATAACAAAATAGGGGACAGCATGGGAGGAGGTATTGCTTACAGTACATCACATTCGTCCAACTTGTCCAGTATATGCAGCTGTGTCTGTAGGTACCAACCAGGCTGCGAGTGTTACACAACGGGATAGTTACAAGATGGCGCATCAGAAAGAGCATAGATCACTAGCGGTCTGAATCAAGTTGAGCTTGCGCGACATTGGCGTCTCCTATTAGTGTGGCGGGCGGGGTTCAGCGGGTGCTGCCGCGAGCCTGTCAGGCTGATGATGCAGACAAAGGAGAATCTACCCCAGCCACAACAGACAGCTTTGTCGCCCAACGTGACAAAAAGCTGGCTATATAATGACCATGAGTCACTTATGATACCAAGTATCTCACATGGATACAATTGATTCTCTATTGCAATGGGCGGCTGATCAAGGGGTCGTGCTCGATGGCGTCCGCCCAAGCAGGATCCCAGGTCGTGGGCTGGGCATGGTGGCCACTCGCCACATCCACGTACGAAGCCGCGCCGTTGGCCTGTTGACTTTCCAGTAACAAACAGCTTACAATCTTACAGAAAGGAGAGGTGCTCATTGCAGTTCCCACGCCGGCGATCCGAAGCCGGCACACGCTGCCAAAATCGCTCATGGGCAAGGCACCAACCAACATGACACTCCACGGGCTGCTGGCGGCAGACCTCCTGCTCCATCCGCCGGACGTGGCCGCCTGGGGCACGCTGGTGCCGTCTCTGGCCGATTTCGAGAGCAGCACGCCGTTCTTCTGGCCCGAGACGCTGCAGGATCTCCTGCCGCCCGAGGCCAAAAAGCTGCTGCGCACCCAGCAGCAACGGTTCCGGCGCGACTGGAGCCACGCCCACGCGGGCTTCCCCAGCGTCGCGGAGCAGGACTACCTGTACGCGTGGTTCCTCGTCGGCACGCGGTCCTTCTACTACCAAGTCGACGAGACGCTGCCGTACCCGTGGCACGACCGGCTGGCGCTGCTGCCGGTGGCCGACATGTTCAACCACGCGTCGGTGGGCTGCGCGGTCGCCTTCTCGACCGAGGTCTACGATGTGACGGCGGACCGGGACTACGAGGCCGACGAGGAGCTGTACACGTCGTACGGCGCGCACTCCAACGACTTCCTGCTGGCCGAGTACGGCTTCATGCTGCAGGACAACCCCCACGACCAGCTCTGCCTGGACGCGGTGCTGCTGGCCAGGCTGTCCGCGGAGCACAAGGCCGCGCTGCTGCAGAGAGGCCTGCTGGGCGACTGGATGCTGCGCGCCGACTTGGGGCTGCCGTCGGACACGGTCTGGACCGCGATGCGAGGGCTGACGGGCACCGCTGCGCCGGCATGGGATGACTGGAAAGAGGGAGGGGAGGACGCGCATGGGAGCCTGGCCGAGGCGCGCGCGATGCTGCCGGGGATCCTGGCAGAAGTTCGAGGGCAGGTCGACGACTACCGTCGCAGGATCACGGAACTGCGGGACGGTGCCAACGCGGCCAAGATGGACGTGTTATTGCAAAGGTGGAATGAGATGGACGAGGTGGCGCGCAAGATGATGGAGTAGGTCGCTATCCTAGTACACGCAAGAACTTCCTCTTGGCGCGCTGCAAATTATGACATGAATCCTGAAAAGAAGACTTTATGATACATGGCAGATTTTGTCACGGAATTGTGGCTGCTCGACACGCCTGTGTTGTTCTGCTCACCCTTGTCAAGCGGATATGCTGCTCCAAGGCGTCGCCGATCCTATTTCGCATTGTAAACATATGGCGAGAAACAATGGGCGCGACTGGAATGCATATGCGAATGATGAAGCGCGTCCGAGGGGGCCGCATTGATGTGGCAGCGCCATTGCTAGAAGAGGAGTCCAATCTCCGTGCGGTGCGGCGGGTGGGCAGGTGATGGGTTGTTCGCTGTCGTAAGCGAGGCTGGATAGTGGAGGTTGGAGCGGTACTTGAGCCATGGTGAGAAAGAAAGCAGGAACACAAGTCACTCGCTAACACGGGCCATCCATCATGTTCTCCTGCACAAACGGCCAACCACCTGTCACCTGTGCATATGCTCTCTCTGGTAGCGGCCTCGGCCGGCCCGCTCCAGTGCAGTTGTATTGTGTACCTCGAGTGCCGGAGCAACCAGGCGGTCAAGCAATACATGTTTCTCGGCACGGGCATGAAGTTATTTACATGAAAGTTATTTTTACATGAATAATCATCTTTGAACATAGAATAACAAGTAAAGCTAGAAGACCAAAAGCCGTGATGAAAAGCGAGCACAGTACAAACGAACTACAGCGGCCGGCACGTTGAGATTTGCACCTAGAAACATCCTGCCGAGGCTAAAACGTTTGCACCGAAAAAGCCGTCCCCACCGCCTTCCTTTGCCGCCTAGAGAAAAGCCCGCCCCAGCACATGTTCGCCCGGATCCAGTGCCTGTGTCCGTCCCATGCCACCACCTTGGCCGTACTAATCGGAGCTTCTCCTCAACAAAGCTGGGGAAGCAACATTTCCTCTTCCTTCTTTTTCTCCCTCCCCATTTACCGGTGCATCCTTCTTTTCTGCCCCTCGTCATTGTGCACCCTGCCATTCTGCCAAATGCGTGGCCTGCAAACAATCGCTTGTTTGCTATAAACGCTCCAAATCCCCGATCTACCGCTTCTGCCGAAACTACCCAACCAGCCTCCCTCGGCAAGAGTCTCTCTCTCCCTTTGGGCGAGCACCACCACCACCACCAGGCTCCGCCGCGTTCGCGCTCGCGTACGAATAGCGAGCTCCCGGTGCACTCGACCGCCTGCGCATTGAATGTCCAACATCTAGGTCGCCGCCTCGTCCCGCCCACCATGTCCTTTGACAGCGCCTACGCCGCGTCGCCCAGCCCGACCGCGACGGCCAAGAGCAGCGACACCTTTGGCCGCTCCCTCTTCTCGCCCGCCATGTCGTCGTCCTTTTCCTCGCCCGCCGCGCAGCGCCAGACGTCCCACATCTCCAAGACGTACCGGCAGGCCTCGACGCTGTTCCTGACGCGCCGCCTGCCCGAGGCCCTCAGCACGTTGCTGCCGCTCATCACGCCGCCGGCCGAGGGCGACGGCGAGCCCACGCCGGTATCGAGCGCCTCGCGCACCACGAGGGTCAAGGTGTGGAGTCTCTACCTCACCACGCTCAACGCCATTGTGGAGATGGAGCCCGAGGAGGGCAAGGCCGCCTTTGGCACCCAGGAATGGAGGGCGTTGTGCGCCAAGGTCCGCGACGGCACAGTCTGGGAGGAGATTGTTAGGAATGGATACCATGGGTCCGAGGGCCACGTCGACTCAGAAGTGGTCATCAACCTGTAAGTTTCACCGCGCGCCCACCATCTCCTCTGCGAGTTCCGGCCTGAGCTAACCAATAAACCGCCCGTCAATACACAGAGCTACCCTCCTGCTTGCCCACGCTCAGAATCAGACCCTGAACCAGAAGAGATTAGAGACATATCTCGCCACATGCACAGCGCCCACCTTGGATTTCGGAAACAGCCTCAACGGGGGTCGCTCCCCAGGGCCGCGCATGAGCGGCCGCTACGCCTCGCCGGCCAAGGGCACCAGCGGCACCGACACGCCCCGCGACCTCACCGCCCGCGTCAAGATTCTCGAGCTATACACGCTGCACGTCCTGCTCCGCAACAACGAGTGGGACTATGCGCGCGAGTTCATCAGCGTCAGCGCCGTCCTCGACGACGAGCGGCGCGAGGCCTTCCTCCAGGCCCTGCAGAGCCTCCAGGAGGAGCACCAGGAAAAGGAGCGCGAGGAGCGCGAGGAGCGCCAGCGCCAGGAAGACCAGTTGCGGAGGGACATTGCCGAGGCCCGGCGTCTGCGCGAAGCGGGCGAGGAGCGCGAGCGACGGCGCCTCGAGGACGAGCAACAGGCCCGCAAAGCGACGAGCGAGACCGACTATGGCGTCGAGTCGAGTCCGAGCTCCAGCCCCAGCCCGCGACGCGCAGCACCCAGACCATCCTCGTCCGGCTCAATATCTTCTCGGCCCGGCGCTGGCAGAAGCGGTCCTGGCCAGACGCCCACCCTCACTGCGCGTGCGAGCGCCGTGTTCACCCGCTTGAAGACGGCGCTGGAGCAAATCGCCCAGACGCTCAACAGCAATCCAGTCATTGTTCTGAGACTGCTCGGCTTCCTCGTCAGCCTGCTCGTCATGCTCGGCCACAAGGGCCTCCGACAGCGCCTGCAGCGCATGCTCGGTGCGTCTTGGGCCAAGGTTGCCGCCACGGCTGGCATGGGCACAAAGGTCAGCTACATCTGAGCCTAGCCCCCGAGGCGATCCAGTCTTGGTGCATCTACTGTACAAATACAACTTATATATCTTTGCCACTGCATCCTTTTCGGAGTTTTATCGCGGGTTTCCCCTTTTTTGGTTGGAGATTTTTTTTTATCACGTTTCTTTTCCTTTGTATTATTCATGACCAAACAAACCACTCTGCCGAGTACAAAGAACTACGCGCGAGGAAAACAACACAAGTTGCATATTAAATCAGAATATAACCCTTTTTGAATATCTTTGCTTGCTTTGCGTTTTGCCTATTTCCTGGCGTCAGCAGCAAATGCCCGTCGTCACTTGTTTGCCCAATCGCCCGGCCAACTACTTTCGAGAGTGCTCTTGCGAGTATAAACATGGTTCAATGAGCACATTTGCCATGGCACAAGGGACAAAAAATCAATAGAAGCCAAGGTAAATAAATTTTCATAACGAGTTTGCTTATTCCATCTTAACACAGGTGTATTATAGAGCCTCAGTGACCGAAAAAGCACCAAACTTCAAGTTTGACCCAGAGATATCTCCCCCTTTCCCACCTCAGAACCTTTAGAAACCAACGAGTCTCCGGAGGGAGAATTTCTTCTTCCTCCCTTCCATGGGCTGCCAGTCCAGCCTCTTGGAGACACTACCCAGCACGACCTTCAAGACGCCCGATCCGGTCAGCCCGTTGCGTTCCCCCAAGACACTGTCCCAGGTGACGGCGTCGACAATGTCCCTGCCGGTGCTGCGGCTGCGGAGGTCGTCGTCCAGACTCATGAGCGCCCGGCGCGCGCCCTTGTCCCTGCCGACCTGGAAGAACTGCACGCCGACCTGCGCCAGCGGCGCCTTGACATGATCGAGCCTGTGGACGACCGACGACAAGATGCCGGCCGGGTCGTCGGTGGGGATGCCGTCGGTGAAGACGATGACGTTGACGGGCTTGGGCATTTCGCCGCCGCCGGCCCGCTCGCACAAGTCCAGGTGCGGCCCGAGAATGTCCTGCAGCCGCGCGCCCGTGGGCGTCATGCCGCAGGGCCACACAATCTCGAAGATCTCCGTGACCTGCTCGGCGGTGCCGACGTTGTAGTAGCCGCCGCTGGCGCGGCCGGGCGGCGCGGGCGACGCGCTCCGGTGGTTGAGGAAGTACAGGTCGATGCCGTCGGCGTCGTACCTGGTGCACACGCGGGCGATCTGGCGGATCGCGTCCCCCACCTCGTCCCAGCGCGAGCGCCCGCGGCCGTTGCTCTCCGTCATCGAGGACGAGTCGTCAATCACGACCACCGTGTCGTAGTTGGCGAGAAGCGCAAACTGGTCGTTGTCGCACTCGCGCGGCCGCACGGCGCGCGACGGCCGCTGGGCGAGGAGCGCCGTCGGGCTGATGTCGGGATCCAGCCGGGACGTGTACGCAGGAGGCACATCGCCGAATACGGCAGACGAGCCTGGTTGGACGTTAGCAGAGGTGCTGAAGGGCAGATGAGGGAGAGATGGCGACTGACTGCCTTCCCCTGAGAACGGAGAGCGCGATTTCTTGCCGGAGCTCATACTGGCGTGTTGGTGGAAGTGAAGGTGTCAAAAAGTGAGGTTGTCAAAAAGTGCAAGTTGGTCGGCGGTCGATGTTGAGGGGGAGTGCGCTGAGAGACCAAGCTTGGGTCAGGGCTTGGGTCAGTTTGCTTTGTCAAGAGTGAAAAACATGCTGGATATCAACGGAACGAGTATCTTTTATACTCAAAGAACAAGACATTCATCCGCAGTTGCCTACCGACCTCCTGGCCCCCTGGTGTTGTCTTCTGATCTCTGTGTGTAACTTGGAGTGATAGGCTGCCATAGGCTGCCATACATAGCCTGTTTTCCACCTACGCGCCCGACTTGGGTATGAAAGACAGGCATCACAGTCACACTGGCACTGAATGTGCGTTTTAAGACACCAACATAATACTTGCATGTCACTGCCTGGTCGCTGCAGGTGGCCGTCAGAGGTGCGCAATCACAGTGCGGCACACAGCCCAGCACAGCCACCCCAACCAAGACTGTGCCTAGGGCATCGCGGCCGATCTCTCCGTGTGTGCCTTGCGCCTGTACGTTGGTGGATAATGGAAACTTCGATTTGTTTAGCTTGACACGTTCGATGGGTTCCTGCAGGGTTTTACAGTCTGCCACTATTTCCGCCTCGCGGATGCCTACTTACCTACCTAGTTAGGCAGCTGGCGTACTACCTAGGCGGCAGTGTTTCTACACTTTGAGGCGTAGGTGAGACTTCCGATGGGCAATAAGGGTTGCATCGTTTAGAGCATTCAAACACGACTTCATATTATCCGGATATGACAGCGTAAATAAGAGTCATTCTACTCAAAATATGTACTCATTTGTCCATAGAATCGATTCGTGATTCTCTTGCATCATCGTCTGTGGTCCCATTTCGTCTACGACGAAGCTGGCTTCTTGAACCTGCAAACTACTGTTAGCGCACGGAAGTGATGGCTGCAAGTCTATCAAACGTACTTGTTGACCACCTTTTCGATGCTGTCAAGGCCCTTGGTAAGGACGTCCATTCTGGGCCCGTACGAGAATCGCACAAAGTGGTGGCAGGGCGAGTCAAACAGATCACGACGACGCGACGGGTTCAAATCAAAGAAGATGCCGGGCACCACAATGACCTTTTCTTCCAGGCAGGCTTGGAAGAAGTTGAGGCCGTCCGAGATGGCCTCAGGCAGACCCTCCAGGTTCAGCCAGCTGCGCGAGTTAGTACGCGATATTGACTTCAAAGTTGGTGTTGACATAACATACAGGTAGAAAGTAGAGTCGGGAACGTATTTGATGACGAAGCCCATCTCGCGGAGGCGCTTGACAACAAAGTCACGCTTGTCACGGAAGTGGCGCTGCAGGTGAACCATTTCCTCCTGGACAAGCGTAGGGTCAAGGAACTGCACAGCAGCCTCCTGGAAGGCATGGTTGGCACCTCCGTCAAGATAACTTCCGCAAGAGCCAATACTATAGACAATTGTTAGTATCGTGATAACTGTGTCTACGCTAGTATTACTGACGCGCTAATGTATTCTATCATCTGTTAGTAAAATGTCTTGCCAAGATGTGACATTGTACATACCCTTGGGACCAATGATCCAGGCGATTCTCCAGCCGGGAAGTCGGAATCGCTTGGTAAGGCCGTCGAGGATCAGGACATCATCCTCGTCGACATCTTCAACGTTTTCGGCGGCAGAGATGGTGGTTCCGTCGCAGTTGCTGGTGTAGTTGTAGCCAGAGTAAAACTCGTCGCTGATAAAAGTGGCACGGCCACGGCAAATATCCTGAATTTCGGCAAGCTCGGGGTTGGCGACGACACGGCCGGTCGGGTTCCGGGGGTTGGAGGTGAGGATAACGGAGGTACCTCGCGAGATTTCCTCGGCAATCTTGTCGGGGTGGATGTGGTAGCCATCCTCCTCAGAGAGGGGAACTGGAATGGCAGCAAACTATTATTGTTAGCGCTGGTTTTGGTGAGGAGCGAAGTGACAGTTGGCATACGTTCTTGAACAGGCTCAGCATTTCATTGTAAGCCGTGTAATCGGGCAAGAAAAAGGACAGGTATGAGGTGCCGAGGACGGCAGCGATACGGATCAGACCAGCACGACCACCGGGGACAATGGCAACATTTTCCCAGGTATACTGGCTCTGCTTGCCCTTGCGGTGCGCCTCGTTGTAGAGTTTGGCAACGGCCTCGCGGAGGGGTTTAATACCGGCGGTGGGGCCGTACTCACGGGCGGCCATGGAAATGTCGATGGTGTTGGGTCGGGGGAAGCAGCCGGCAATGTCGTCTTCGACTTCGGGGGCACCCTGGCCGAGGTTGGCCCATTCTTCGGGATGTTCCGAGAAACCAAACTCGCAGGCGCGCTCAGTGCACCAGACGACACCGGTGGAGGCGCGGCTGGCGTCGAGGCCGGCATGGGGCATGTGGCCTTCGTGGGCATTGCGGAACTGGCGGTGGACTTTGGACTGGACCTCTGTTTGAGAGACGATGAGCATTTGATTCCGGCAGGGTTTTCAAATGACTGGAGCGTGTTGGAAGTTGAAAGGTAGCTGTCTCAACGAGTTGTCGCATCGTCGCCGCTGGCCGCGACAAAGCTACTTTGGGGTTTGGCGGGGTAGCTTATGTGGGAGTCGAAGAGTTTGGCGGGCTGGGCAGCCACGTCGGGTTTTGGGAGGAGGTAACTTTGAGGGAAAAAGAACATACCGTTGGTACCAGGTTCAGCATTGGAAAAGCGTCTGGCCATGGGCTTGGGAGCGCCAGTGTGGCGGTTAAAGGAGAACTTGCGGCCGCTAAACATGGTGACGATGGCAGTGGGAGCTGTTGGGCGACGCAATGTCAGTGTTGGGTAGGTGAGGAGAGACGGGGGCAGAAGATGTGATGGAGTCAAAAATAACCCCGAAGACAATGGCGAAGAAGAAAAGGCAACAAGGTCAAAAAAGCTTGTTAATAAAGGGAGGAAGAGGGGAATCGAGTCATGAAAAACAGAAGCGCTGGTGAGGGTCCCGTCGTGAGTGTAAGATGGGAGGGCGGTCTATTTTATTTATTGAATTTTTCTGGCGGGCAAAGTGGCTGCCAGCTGCGAGCCCCTCTAAACGTCAAACGGGAGCTGTTACCAGCTGCAAGTTGCCAGCTGCCAATCCAAGTGCCAACCAGTGATGGCCCTCGTCTCCGCCATGCGCTGTTATTATTCTTGTCTTGTTCCATGGCATGACACAGCCCAAGCACCAGCCCTCCTCTTACACGCACGCACGCACACACACACACCGGCAAACCAGCCATTCGATTGCCATACCAGTCACACTCTACCTAATACACCATCCCGTACAAAGCCTCGGAAATTCGGCACGCTCCAACGCCGGGGGTTGGTTGGACAGCCAGGATAGGATCCATCAAGACGACGGGAGGGGCACGTTTTGGGTGGACCAAGAGAAGCATTTGGGGTGAGCCTCTCCGCCACATCCAAGCGTTCCAGCCAAAGCTAATACTCCCAAATGTACAGCTCCCCGATGCGTAACCCACCTCAAAACAGCCACGGCGCATCCGAGACTGGAAACGGAAAATTTACCTTGGCTCGGTGAAGGAAACCTGATCGCCGCTCGACAACACCCGCCCTAGCTGCCCTAGCTGCATGAAAGTAATGATCGCCAATCCGCGGGCCGGTCCTCCAGGCTGGGGTGCATCCCACGGCGACTCCGGACGCTGCGGTATTCCTTCCTCTCTCATAAAAGGGGCTGAGACTATATAACATGCTCTAATTGTCCATGTCGGGCTAATCCGGAAATTGATCACGCTGCTTCTTGCTTGAGGCATTAAACCACAACGCGGGCTCGCAAACAACAGTCCTACACCGAGAGCTCCAAACGGGGAGTTCCATCCAGCTGTTTCGTCAAACGCTGTTTCGTCGCTGCTCTTTGCGCCATCCTATGACGCAAATGTCAAAACACGCACCAGTTTTCACAACCTCAGAAACAACAAACAATCTAGGTCATAGTCATATACGACATGATGCCTCAGAAAAAGCCACGGCGTTACACAGACTGGCTCATCCATAAATTCCGAAGCTTCTGCAGAACTTCTGCAGGCCGGGGGGTGGCCCTGCTCCACAGTGCAAGGTCTCACCGGGCAGCATCGCATCGGATGAATGATGAATGACAGCATGGCCGGGCTACAACCGTCGCACCATGCGCAGACAAAGAGGGCGATATTCTCTCAAAGACGGATGCTGTACAATTCACCACCCGTTCAGCTTTGTACGTTTTACGAACAGATGCGCACTGTGGAACGGGAAACGCAGATGTCCGCAAAGAAAGGCCGTTTCTCCGGACTAATACGACCTGTCTCGGACCCTGGCTGCCGGAGGTTCACCTAACCCACAAGCAGCCAAAATCGCCAGCCCTGCAGGAAAAAAAATACAACCTGTTCAACATCAACTGCCACGAGCTACCCAACAGACGCACCACCTCACTGCTCGTCTTTATCCCGCAATACAGTACTGAGGCAGGCATTAAATCCCTCCAATGCACCGCGCCACCTTGGTAACGCTCGCCCGGCGCTCTTTGCATCACCACCCACGCCATCCCACGCCTAACCTCTACCGTCACACGCTGGATCTTCAGCGCCCCTTTTCCATGGCCGGCAGCACACAATCCCCGTCGTCGTCGTCATCCAAAGGCAGCAACGACGACATTGCCCCCGCCCCCACCGCAGACCAACAGCAGGGCCTCCCCGCGCCCGGCGAGGGCACACCCGTCACGCTCGATGTCAGCGGCGAGGGGTCCACGGTCAAGCTCGCCGCGCTGGGCCCGCTCGTCGTCAACGTCGATGGCACCGTGGCACGCATCACCAACTGGAAGGAGATGACGGAGCAGGAGCGCGAGACGACGGTGCGCATGGTGGGGAGGCGCAACAAACAGCGCCTCGATGCGCTCAAGAAGCGCAAGGAGGAGGAGGAAGGGGCTGCGGGAGCTCGATAACGTCTTGGCGCATTGGTGGCGGACAAGGCATCTGCATGCAAGACGCGCAGGACATGCACCGATCAGTTGGACCGTCATGGTTGTATGCAGGGTATACATGTTGGGGTAATAACATTATTGTAACGATATATTGTAAATAGGATAGCGATTTGAAATTATTCTCTTCATCAACTTGTTCTTTCATCAGCTCGTTTCTCTCCGTCATTGCCTTTTCCAAAGCCGGTTCATATGCAAGTCGATTTTGCAGTGCTTCCATTCTGTTGCACTGCATCAACCGTCTCTTCTGTTCCTGCCAGACACGGACATGTACAGCTTTGAACCTCGGATACTCTTCACTCCAGTCTTGATGCCTCTATCCAGGAGACGTCCCCGACAAGTACAAATACATTGGGTGTACGACGTGTATACCATGTATATAAAATAACTAAATAAATAAAAATGGCAGGAAAATCATCAACATATACTTCATCTAGACACGTTCCACAACTGCCAACCAGAGTCTATCGTCATGGTTGTCCCACAGTTTCTCAAAGCCGGACCGCCCACGGCTCAGTCCCCTTGATCACCCCCCATGGCTCGCCTTGCCCCATCTCATGCGCCGACCAAGACTTGAGCTTCAAGCTTCGCTCAAAGAAACAAGCCACACCAAGCCTTCCCATATATAAAAACGAAAAAATGACTGAAAAAAAAAAGGATAATCAAAGATCACAATGTCCGCCGAGAAAAAAGACGCCGGGCTTTCGTCCTTGTAGTAAAGGTTCAAAGCATTCTAACTTTTCTGCAACCTTGGCCATGCAGTTGGCTTGTGTTGCACACACGTGTATAGGCATGTAAGCCGCCACACGTGTACACAGGACTACCTCTCCTCCTTGCCGGCGTTGGCGCTACTCGACCCGGTCGACTTGCTGAGCTTGCTGCCAGCCTGCTTGGTGAACTCCTTCCACAAGGCAGCAATGTCCTCGTTGCCCTCATTCTTCTCAACGAGCAGATTCTTGAGCCACTTGTTCTCAGTCTCGAGCTGCGAGACCTTGTTCTCAAGGTCCGTCACCTTGGTATGCATATCCTTGGCAGACTTCTCGAGAGCTTGCTCGCGCTGCTTCTTCTTGATGCGGAAGCGAGCGCTGGCGGCCGTGTTACGACGGCGCTTATCCTCCTCGGCAGCGACGCGGGATGACTCCTCAAAGTGCATGGCCTGTGTCTTGGGAGCAATGGGCTCGGCCTTGTGCTTGATCTCGGCCGCCCGGGCGGCAGCAGCGTGGTACTGAGCGTTCTGGTGAGCCATCTGGGGGCCATGGTTAGGCTGCAGAGGCTGGAAGTTGTGATTGGGCTCGGCAAAGGTGTTCATCTGTGGCCCATAGGTGTTGTTGAACTCGTTGAAGGCAAAGTCATCTGTGGGTGGCAGCCGTGTTAGTCAACTGCTATATGGGGCACATAACATTGTGCCGCCGGACAGGCAAGCACGCGAGTGCAAGTATAAGGGAAGAAGAGCAGAGAAGTTGAGTGCAAGGGGAAAGTCCAGTGGATAGTTGGCAGGCGAGGGTCAAAAGGAAGACCATAGCAAGATGACAACCTTATCAATGGCCCTCGAGCTGCGTTCCTTGCACCGAGGCCGTGTGGCCCAGCACAGATTGGGTGGTTTGGGTGTGTCAATTGCGGGGCCCCCAGCATCACGAGATATTGCACCATCGGTCCCGCCATTTGTAAGCCCCGGGTTCCCTGTAACGTGGACCCACTGGCGGTGCAGGATAGGCTCTTGACAGGCTGGTTAGGACAGCTAGCTGCTCCAATGAGGGCTTGTCCAAGCTGCCATGTCGCAATTTGCAAGTAGGCGGGGGAATTGTGCCAGAGGTACAGATGCAGGCCTGCCAGAGGCTGATATGGAAGTGGAGGGGTGAAGCTGAACTCGCCCGGAAACCTGCCTTGGCCTCTGGGGCGCTAACTTTTGGTAGCGAGACAGCCCCAGAAGGCCAGTAGAAGCGCCGTAACCGAGGCTGAATAGGGCAGTGGGATGAGGAATGCAAAGTGAAAGGAAAGGAACAAAGAAACGTGACAAAATAGATTAAAACATACTGGAGATGAAGTCCAAGTTGGGCATGTCCCCCATGACAGAGGGAGTAGCGCTCACATCATCGGACGCGGGTGTAGAATGGGCAACCTCCTTGGTAGGCTGGGCCTGGAAATCGGTGTTTTGGCCTGTCTCGAAGTCGAAGAACTCGGTGTTTGTGAAGAGAGCTAGGTCGCCCTCCATGGGGAAGTTTTCGTCGACAGAGCTCTCTTGGGGAGAGATGGTGTTGAGGTCGCGGAGGTAGTTGGACACATTGGGCCCGTGTCGGCCGTTGTAGTTGGACATTTTAGTCGGTTTTGGCGAATCGGCACCGTTGCTCGTTATTTTTGCTGATGAAAGTTGTTTGGGGGGGGTTTGTTCGTGATGAAGATGTTAATCACGCTGCAAGGCGACTCGGGTTCCGCAAACGTGGTGCAGTAGATGCGGTCGCGCGCAGAAGCCTGGCTGGCAACTTATCGGTCGCAAATTTCGTTGGGCGTGCAACCTAAAAAATCGAAAATAGCAAATCCCGTCACAGCAGCGTCGTCCAATGCTGAATGTCGTTGGTCGGGGGAGGGGTTGTGATGGTGAAGAAGAAGAGCGTTCGTAATGTGTTTGCGGAGAGTTAAGAAGAAACGCGGGGCGGCGGCGGTGGAGGCAGTGTATTCCGTGAGTCGTTTGCGGATTTTTTTCGCTCGCCGAGGGGCTCCGATACCGTCTGGGTGGCGGGCGGGCGGGCGTGCCACAGGGTCACAGTGAGTGTCGCGCGGGCCTTACTGTGAACATAGCCGAGGGTTCAGCCCGCGAACAGTAGAGGAGCCCTGTATTTTGGGAGGGGTTGGTGGATCTTGCAGCGACTATTGTGGTAACGTAACGAAGTCACTTTTTTTTTTCTATTTAAATTGTTTTAGCGGACCGAGACACTGTGGCGTCCGAAGCGGGACAGGCTTTGTTGAACCTGCAACGCTGAGCTTTGTAGGTAGCCTGTGGGTGCGCCCTGTTTGCAGCGCGCAACAACTTCACAAGCCTGCTTAACAATCAACAGCTTTTGTCACAAACTAGGCTGCGAGCTGGCTGCGGGGCGGAGCTTAAAATGCACCAATAGCGGCACACAGGATCTTATCTGAACCAATCATGGTCCCCTTTTCAGGCTATTCGCATTCCATGGCCTTATCTTGGCCCCCACCAGTATGTAACCCTGGTTCCATGCTTTTCGGTGCCTGCTCTTTTGGCTGGCTGGCTTTGTCTGCCACACCATGTAGTTAGTTAGGTAGTTACGAATGAATAAACCTGGTACACACAACCACAGTCGAGTGATGCTGTTACACAGTCGGTCCACTGGCTGCCTGGCAGGCTCCTTCGGCAACCCACCACGGCCTTGGCTGCGGAATGAATCCAATGACCTACGCGGCGCTGCAACTCCGAGCACGTGCCGCTGCCCATTCAACGAATCACGGCTTTCCGCCGCCTTTCCGCTTTGCTGCGTCTTGCCCAGCAAGCAGGCCACAACGGACGACCCATGGGCCTCTCTGCTTGGTGCTTTTTAGACCCCCAGCCAGGAATCAGGTTCGCCCACCATTTCTCTAGACTAACTTTTTGGGCTGATCACTGCCATCCAGTCTCAACGCCATCATGACGTGATCCATCGGCACTGCCCATTGCAGCTATCCGGACCCAGCTCTCGCTGCACATGACGGCCATGATGCATCCAACTATTGTAAAACATGCATGCTTCGGGGCTTGGGCGTGAATTTCCGACGAAGCGATCCCTGTGGTCTTGAACCTATCAGTAGGTAGCTGACCTGCCTCCCCGCAAGGAGCCACTCATGTCCAGGGACTAGGGAGAAGGGGCCTCCTGTGGACATCACGATAGCTTGCACCAGAAAGTTGCGGAATATTATGATACAGAAAATGTCTTGGCAATTTCGCCTAGTCACTGAATCAACTGCTAAATGGTCCGTATTCCCCGAAAAAAATTGCTAATAACTATAATTGCTATCAAATATTGAAAGTAACGTGCCGTACAAGTCATGTCCAGCGATGGGGCTATTCCCACGCCAGCTTGGTCTTGCCCTCCTCAATGTGAACGCCAAACTGCTTGCTAGCCAACCCGTAGCTCTGACCCACCGCTTCGCTCCCATACACGCGCATCTCCTTCTCGTACGCCGCCGTCAGTCCTTCCCGGAAGCCACCGGCCTCACGCAGCAAGCGGCCGAGCAGCGCCGAGTCTCTGAGCGCCGTGTTGGCGCCGAGCCCGCCGGCGGGCGTCATGCTGTGGGCGGCGTCGCCAATGACGGTCACTCTGGGCACGTTGGGCCATTCGGGGACGCCAGACGGCGTGGAGCAGGTAATCTTCCAAAACGCGGCCTCGTCTGCGCGCATCTCGTCCACGAGCGCGCGGAACCGCGGGTGCCACTGCCTGGTGAGGTCCTTGGCGATGGCGGCGGCCACGGCGCCGACGATGCTGTAGTCGTCGTTGGGCGCCTGGATGGTTCCCGGGCGCCCCGTCATGGTCCATCCAAACTCGACGCCGGCGTCGTCCATCTCGCCCGACCGGACGTTGGTGATGATGCTCACCCCGTCGGGCCCGCGCAGCGCAAACACGCCCTCGCCGAGCCCCTTGAATGCCGTCGTAGGGGCCTGGCCGTGGATGCCGCGCGCGCCCGTGTCGTATGTCTTGAGCTTGCCGCCCGACACCTGCTGCGCGATTTTGGAGTAGATGCCGTCTCCGGCAATAAGCATAGAGCCCTCGTCCGACCTGGACCCGTCGTGGAAGACGGCGTGGACGCCGCCGTCGGTCAGCTCGTAGCCCGCCACCTTTTTGTTCCACTGGATGTGGCTCTCCAGGCCCTTGGCGAATATCTGGCGCATGTCGCCGCGCGCCATGCCGACCACCTTGCCGCCGCGCGACGACAGCCCGCTGCCGACGGTCAGCGTCTCGTCAATCGGCTCGCCGGTAATGGCGTCGAGGATGGCGAAGCCAGAGCCGCCCGTCTTGCCGCTCTTGCTCCAGAAGAGATCCCAGTGCTCGGGAGCGAGCACGGATTCGACGGCGTCAAGGCCCTCGGCAGACAGTCGCAGTCTGTATCCCTGCGCGCGGAAAACAAAAGAGGCGTCTCGCTCCAAGATTTGAAATGGGATCTTGGAGCGCAGCAGCGACTGGCCGAGGAGCAGCGACGAGAGGCCCCCGCCCGAGATGAGAATTGGTTTGGGGTTTGGCATGGCGGATAGATGGGATGGTGTTGGTATATTCACTTTACTGTGCACTGATTCATTCGATTTCTTGGGAGAGCAAAAAGAGGTCTGCGTTGGGTTTATTTATCTTAGGCCCTCGAGAGCAGTTGGAATAAATTCGGGCTTCTTTGCAAGACTCGGAGCCGTCACCAAGAGCGAGTGCCGATGGTTGAAGCTTAATTGTAAGCAGCCGCGCGCGAGGGTACTCTAATTGTCAGCGAACGCAACCGGACGTTTCAGTGCCTTGGAAGCCGCACTTTTGCGCGGCGCCGGTCAGGAAGCCATTTCTGTCGATTACAAAGCAGACGCAGAGCCTGGCGAACCACGACTAAGTAAACTGCGTTGGCGCCTGAAAGCTGGAGAATAGCGCTTATATCCTTTGATATCTGAATCTCCTTGGGTCTGATTAATAAGTGCCGTCTTATCGTAGATGAGCAACCGCCAGCACGCTCCTCGAACTCAACGAGCGTGCCGCCACTCATCGCTCGGCTTTGACTCTTAGGGCTCGGTGGCTTAAATACCCTTAACGCCAAAATGCATATAAATGATATCGGACCTTGGCTTAATATACAGCTATGGTCACATCAAATGCTGATTTTTATAGAGTATAAATCTCTGGTATGTAGGGAATCCGAAGCCGCCGTCACTAGAGCTACATGCGCGTGCCATTTGGAATGCGATACTTGGAATACGTAGTGTTGTTTTGCAGATCAATCAAGGTAAATTTACATATGCCGCCTTCAGAGGACTGGCCTTTTTCGAGGACCCAACGAACGTCCCCAGAGAAAGATATCCTCCCTCGTCTAACATGCCAGACAGCACGAGCATGTGGCGTGCTAGCACTCTCCAAGATGACTCTTTTCACATCTGAACATTAGTTAGTTACCATTTATTACACACTTGTATCGCGTCAAACTCCTTGATACGGCATTACACCACGGCACTAGCCCATGGCGTGTTCACGGGGCCTGCTTCCGCGTCAAGTTGCTAACTAGGTATGTGGTGCGCGTCGCAACGCACGCTGGCCCTGATTTTGGAGAACTCATCATATGTCTTACCATTAAAAAGTCACTTCTTGATAGCGGTCCGTGCACCATCGGCAGCTGCAGGTTACACTGCATGGCGATCTATCGTGCAACTCAGAGGATCCTGCCTCGCTTCAAGGATTGAGCAAGGATTGATCCCGCCCACCACCTCCCCTCGCATACTTCGTACTCTACTTCATCTCCGACAATGGTTTTTTTTCTTTTCGGTTTCCACAAAGATAAGAGTTACCTCTCAGGCAAAGACACTTTGCGATTGCCCACCGCTGTTCAATAGTCCGTTCACCTGTGTGGAGAGGAACCTGCAGCCTCCAACCAATAACATGCAAATTCAAAAGCCCGATTATAGGACATTGGACTATGGAGAATGCAAATGATACGACCAATATCGGCTTCTGGATGAACTTGTGCTAGCCGGCCCGGTGGTATGGTAAACTCCAGTCGTCTCCAAGTCTCACACTGACCTCGACGCATGGTTCAGCTCTTCCTTGTCCATGCAGGAGAAGACCAAGAGGCTGCCATGTGATGTCCTTGACAATCACCGACGCTCCGTAGGTATTTCCGTCTCTTGGATCCCCATGCTCCTGATTCCACGCCGCGCTCACACCGCGCCAGATCAGGCGGCGGCCCGGGCATCAGCGACCTGCGTATTTGACTGACGCCACTACGACAAATTACACCGCGTCGACACAAGCGTAAATGATTCTTCTCGACATGACAGAATTATAGTATTGACAGATTCCGGGTATCTGAGTAAAGAGCTTATAGGTTGATCAGTGTGTTGGACCGAAGCAGGGCCGGACTCTACGATTTCAGCAAAAGCCAGAGCCGAAGCAGCCCTGGACAAATTACACTAATTTTTCGTGAAAACTCTGCATGAACACAAGGATTGAGCGAGCTGCTGTGGAGTGAGCTGAGATGGGGTGCCGCGGGACCCCTATCCTCTGAACTTTTGTTGCGATGGTGTCAAATTGCGCCATCGCTGCTCCCTCCGTACAAGTCCAGCGTTGCCCCCTGGCGCGGGGACCCCGTTTGACCGTTGCCAAGTTCTCGTTACGTTGAGCAGTTATGGGGCTAGATTATTTATTTATGAAAGTACACTAATTAGGCTGTTTTGTGCCTTTCTGGGGCTGGATTAATAAATTCTTTATTAAAGTAATAGTTGGCAGCTATCGGCTCCGGAGAATGAGCACAGAACCGTAAAGGCGCGTGTAACTACTCGGCGGCCACCTGTGACTTACCCATACCACCAGCCCATGTACTGCGCACGACTGAGGTCCGGTTTCCATCGGCTGGAGAGCCAGGTCTATCAAACTCAGCTCTGTCTCTCTGCCAACGAGAATTAGTCCCTCGGAGCACCAGTCCTACACACACCTAGAACATGGAGTATAAGGGGGGGTCCAGGATATTGCAGTTTGCGTCCTACGCCTTCACTACATCTATTGGGTCAGCAATTCACAGTTTGTGTGAGACTGTGCATCCCTACTGATTGGCGTTGATAGAGAGACTCAGATATGCAAGTAAAGGTATGTGTAGTCATGTGCACCTGGTCATTTTGATATCATGCAGAACGCCAGTCCTGACATTGCGGCAGATCAATGGACAGCGCGTAGAGCTTGGCGATGTCGAGTCAAACCTGCGTGTTCTTCTACCTTTCGATTTGGATAATCGTGGTGGAACTGGTGATACCGTTTGATGCCCTAGATCGGCAAGTACTTACAGCATTCGTGCGGCGCAGTCCGGGCTCCCAAGAAGATGGCCTGGCCGTTTTTATAGAAGCCAAGTCGCGGCTCGAGAAACTGCTGCCCCGGCACATGATCCCCAGAGCCTGTGTCGCTATGGAAGAGATACCAGGACATTACAAGACGGATCGCAAAAAGCTATGCACCGAAGCAAGCAACCTTGGAATCAAGGCACTAATCGCGTCTCTGCCCAATGGCGGTAATAGCACGAATGTTGTGGCACCGGCAACCGAAGCCGAGCGAGTCTTGGCAAATCTATGGGCGACCATTCTACGCCAAGATGTCGACAGTATTGGAAGAGAGCAGAGCTTCATCTCTCTATTCCTTCTTAATTAGGAGGGGAAATTCCTCCTTTCTTGTACCTATTTCTAAGCCTGCTTATTCGGCTTAATTGCTGGCCTATGGCGTATCTGGCGTATCTTTTATTCGTCCGAATCCGTTAGCATCTGTGATCAGTTCCAGGACCTACTTCGCACACCGCTATCCCTTTCTAGCTTTCTGCCATTTATGGGTCCTGCTGACTGCGCACCGTGATCTTCACTTAAATCACAACAGCAGTCCGTGGCCAACCGTACCTTCATGGCATCGATCAGTCCTCAATTGTTATTGGAAACGACGCAGCAACATGCTCAACACGACGCCTAACGCAATCAATGGCCATGGGCAGCACGGACAGGCGCACCTTGTTCCGCCGCATCACTTATCGGAGGTCGTGGTCGGCTGCCGCAAGTCGGAGCTAGCACTCGTGCAGGCACGCGCCGTTATTGTCACACTAACCAGGGCAATGAGCTGTCCACCCACCTTTAAAATCGCTACTGGTAGTGCTGTTGGCGATGTTGATAAGCAGACGCCTTTCCTCTTGCTCTCTAAGCAACAGGGAGGATCGGATGTTGGCAAGAGCCTGTGGACCAACAACCTTGAGAAGAACATGTTGGCTGGTGATGTTCAGCTTCTTGTCCACAGTTTGAAAGATATGCCCACCACATTGCTCCCTAAATGCCTCCTCGCCGCTGTACCCGAGCGCGAAGACCCGACTGACGCCGTCATCATGAGGACAGGCTCGCAATTTACATCCATTGACCAGCTGCCTGCTGGTTCTATAGTCGGATCAAGCTCCTCCCGCCGGAGGGCCTTGGTTCGGAGGAATTGGCCTAGTCTCGAGGTCGCGGAATGCCGAGGCAACGTGTGAGTCTGCTTTGGTCCTCCATCCGTTATTCACTCATGGCGTACCTAGTTGCTGACACCGCTCTAGGGACACTCGGCTCGCCAAGCTCGATGCGCCCTCATCGCCATTTGCATGCATTCTTCTGGCCACTGCGGGACTGGCCCGTCTGGGATTAAAAGACCGCATCACACAACGACTCGATCCCCGCATATTCCCACCCGCAGTTGGACAGGGGGCCCTCGGCATCGAGGTGAGCACGGACCGCGAGGACACTGTGCACCTTGTCCGCCATGCCGACCATAAGCCGTCGAGATGGAGGTGCATGGCCGAAAGAGCAATGCTACGCAGCCTCCAGGGAGGATGCTCCTCTCCAATCGGTGCCTCCTCCTCCTGGGATCCGACAACCGACAATAGACTGCGCCTGCAAGCAACTGTGCTTGACATAGAAGGCACGACCAGCATCTTCGCTGAAGCAGAAGGCATTGTCCAAGACGACGAAGCGGCAGAGCAACTAGGCGTTGCCGTCGCAGATATATTGTTCGAGAAGGGGGCCCACCAACTGTTGCGCAAGTAAGTCGGAACAGACTCAACGCATCCCCAACAAGCATTCTCGGGGAGCCTGAATAACCAGGCTGCCAGGAAAGACTCAAGTAGCATTGCATAATGAAAGTTGCCAAAGTTTGCTAAGTTATTCAATGAAACGAGCAAGCTCACGGGCAGAGCAGCAACTACAGACTAAGCGACTATGAGTTGATATTCACCTGAAAATGCCGAATACACAGCAGCTGCGACGGCGTCGAAGACTCTTATCAGGTTTCGATATAATTTTCTTTCCAGCGCCCATGCAGCGCTGCACTGCGCTAGTCACCGATGTTACCAGGCTCGTCAACGACGCACAGCGCTCAGCTACTACCAGCTGCCGACATGTTCTATTACGCCGTCTTCAAAGCTCGGACTTTGTGCCCGGATATATTTATTTGGTTGTGGTTGAGGATATACTTGGCCTCTGGGGCTGGCCTTGATATGGCGGTATTCCGCACTTACATACATACACCCCGGCAAATTCTCAAACGCTCAATCACCGCCGCCAGTTTCTCGTCGACTACCCGCCATGTACATGCTGGATCCCCCACCAGGAACCCCTCATTAGGCACCTCAACTGTCAAGCCCTCCGTTTCTGGCCACTCTGCCTGAACAACCAGAAAGCCAGATCAAAGGCTTGAAAAGTAAGATGTCTTCTCGTGTCAGAGTATTGCGAACAACAACTACACCCACTCCCAGGCTAGCCAGTGTCAATGCAAGCGTCCATGGCGTAGGAGTAGATGTACGCAACCCGCCTTTCACAAACATCTCTCCACCAGTATCAGTGCTATTATGTGCCCACTCGAGCCCGACGACTTTGGAAGCGGAGTCAATGTGGAAGCGAATGAGGTAGTATGGCGCCGGGAATATGTGGCGTCCTCTTTGAGCCAGTTGTCGCGTCGATGTGAACCAGGTGTACGTGGTTCCGTGGAGGTGTCGGAGAGGGAATGCGTCGCCCTTCTGCCCCTGGAAGGCAATCCGATGGCCATCCTTGCTGGAAAAGATTTCGATGACAAAGGTAGCCGCAGTGTTGTAGTACATGCCCTCGAATGCCTTTATTGGCGTTGATGGCACTGCGTCGGCATGATGCATGCCCTCAATCTCATGCACGGTGCGAAGTCGATTGCTTTTGCTCACATCAGCAGCCTCTCTGGCCAGCGCCACATAGTCAGTCTCAGACTCGGTTTCGAATAGCGCTTCGGCAATGAGCTGCGCGATCCAATCCGGGGCGTCGCTGAGCCCGTAGCCGTTGCTGAGCACGACTATGCCGCTGTGCGTCTCGGGAAAGAGGTAGACGGCAGAGGTGGCGCCAGGCAGATTGCCTTGGTGGTACAGGGCTAGCCGCGAGGTGTTGATGAGAGGCATCTGTGTAAGCCAGGGATTCAAGCCCATCGCACCCAGGGTTCCGGGGAGCTGGGTACGAATCCAGCCCAGAGCGTAGGAGCGCTCCAGTAAAGACCTTTCACCGTCTTGCATGAAAGATTTTGCAGAAGTGATGATGGGGAGACCCTTGAGTGAATGTCGTGACGGGTCCGGGTCAACTGCAGCACCAAGTTGCCGCAGCATGGCGCCATAGAAAACGAGAAGGTCGTTCACCGAGCTGCGAATCGCACCGGCGGCCACTATTGCCGTGCTAGCCGGAATAAGAGGTTTTGCGTTTTCAACGGCGGTGCCATCTTCGGTAGTGAGATATGCCTTGGCTACATCGCAAGATTGGCAATGATCAAAGTCTAGACCAGTTCGATCCAGGCCAAGAGGCCGGGCGATTCTGGACTGGAAGAGCTCGCTGTATGTTTGCCCTGAAAGAGCGCTCATGACAAGGCCGACTATGGCATAGCCCAAGTTGTTATACATCCACCCAGTACGGAAGTGGTGGACAGATGGTTGCGAGCCAAACATGGGGATGATATCAGAGTCGTTCAGGAGTGGCTGGCCATGCCAGTAGAGAGATTCGCCGCCGGCGATGCCAGTTCTATGCGAAATCAAATCCACGGGAGTCGCCTCCATTGTGACTTCTGACGATGTGCTGTGGAAATTGGGCAGAGTTTCGCGGATCGGCGAGGACCAGTCTGCCAGGCCGTCATGGACGAGCGATGCATAGAGGAACGCGGTGAAGGACTTGGAAAGTGAAGCAATCGGGTAGATGGTGTCGCTGGTGGTCGGCGTCTTGGCCGCGACGTCTCCATGCCCGTAATTATGGTGAAAAACGACACGATCCTCGTGAATGACGCCGACTGACACGCCTGGAACGCCGGAGAGCGAGGCAATCAGATCAATGGCTGGGGCAAGCTGGGGCAAGAGGTGGGCAGGGCCCTTCATCTTGGCGATGTAGTGGTGTGTCGATATTGGGTCGATTTTCTTATGGGAGATGTGATGGTAAAGGGCGGAAAGGAGCAAGATGGAAATGTCATGGTAAAGGGTTGAAAAGGCGCGTTTGCTGTGAGTGGAATGAGGCCAGTACTGCAGTGATGTAGAGACGGGCGCGCCGTGGACTGCGGAGGAGCGAAGGGCCTGAAGGGCCTGAACCCCAGCTCACCAAAGCTCAGGCATATCTTCTCAAAGATTTTAGCAGAGCACGCGTATGACCACGCCAAAAAAAAAAAAATTGTTAATTGCCGTAAAGGTGGTGACTTTATCAGCATCTAACTAATTAGCCGCCGGTCAGCACCGTGGCTTCGCAGAACGATTTTGAGCCAACAGAGGTCTTTCTCTGCCCGTCTACGTTCATCACAGCCCACTGCTGTGGCTCAAAATTGCAGGTCGCTACCAAATGGTGGTTGCCCATCGCGATCGAAGGCAAACACATTAACCCCGCCATTTGGTGTCTCGGTCGACTTTCCCGTGGTAAATGCATAGCCGCCTCCTGGCTTTGCCCATAAATGGATGGCGCGCGCCAGAGAGGAATTCGCGTCAGTCGTATACACCCTCGGACAGGAGCACATCATCCGGGAATACTATTAGATTTAGTTATAGTTGAATTCATATATAATATCGAATCTTGGTTAGGCTATGCTATATTTCCCCTATATTCCCTCGCCGGGAAATGTGAATTAACTGGTACTCATCAGGATTGGCCAAGGCCACCTTACTCTGAAGTGGCACTAGAGTAGACCTGAGGCCGTCGAAGCCACTATCGTCGCCGTCTAGGCTGGGTTTATTCCCTAGCTGAAAGTCGTTTTTTGGCGGGAAGTCGTTCCCTGTCTGAAAGTCGTTCCCTGTCTGAAAGTCATTCCCTGTCTGAAAGTCGTTCCCTGTCTGAAAGTCGTTCCCTGTCTGGAAGTCGTTCC